ACATGGCAGGGTCACTGGACTAGAATCAGAAGACCTGGACCTGTTTTCTAGTCATCTACTAGTTACGTAGATCATGTTTTGTCAATGTGGATGAGTAGGATGGACTGATAAAGAGTTAGGAATATATGGTGAGAGAGAAAGGTCAGGGTAGCTTTCAGTTGTTGCTATTTAGCAAAATAAAAACAAGCTCTTCAGTTTTCCATTTCCTGGTTGTCCATGGCTATAGGTAGTTTCAGTAACTCTTACCATGATCCCTGTATTTCATTTTCTGAAATATTTGCTTCTTATTTATTTACATTAGATTCCAAATTCCTTGAGACAACTTCAATCTCCTTGTCTTTAATTGTCCTTCCATTACACCAGAAAAGGGGGTGCTACATGCTGCTTTAGAAAATCATACCTTTGTAGACATCTATATAAAGTCTTGCTCTCTATCCTGTTCTCAGCAGCCTGTCTGCCCAGAAAGCATCCTTTGCTCTCTTAGATGTTCTCTACAGTGGCTATTAAAAAGTTTCTATACTCTTCACCCAATTTTCCCCTGGCAAAGCCAGTGAGTTTTCACTACACAGGACGAAAAAAGTTATCAGAATTCTTTCAACTTTTATTCCTTAAAACCTACAAAGTCACTTGCATTTGCACCCAGATAGGAACCAAGGAGGCAGGTTCCTGCCATTTGTAGCCTGTCCCCCAAGCAACACTGAGTCCTATTCTTGTTTTCAGCCTTTCTGTCTCTCTAACCTCCAGTACAGCAGCATTCAATATGCTTGTCTCTCCTACCTAAAAAAGAAAAAGGAGAAATCTTGCCTTGACCCTCCAATATTGTCTCTTCCTTAGATATCTCTTAGGCCTTTGGGCCGGTCACATCCAGCTCCCTTCTAGACCTAACCTCTTGTCTAGGTAACCTGTTGGTACCTCAAACCTAGTGAACCTGAAATTGAATACATCTTCCACTCCTGCCCTCTGCCTCTGATCCAATTCTGTGTATCTTCTGTTCTCTGTTTTAGTGAACGGTGGTACTATCTTATTTGGTGGCTTTTAAACTGGAAAACTGAATGTTATTCTTAATTGTTCTACCTCATGGAATGAGAAAAGGCGGCTTTGACATTGCTCGCAGGGTACAAGTAGAGGAGGCTCCTGATCCTGCTCAATTAGTAGCTAGTGATGTTGACTTTCTACACTCCCATCTGCTCATTTCTCTCCTTCCTACTATCCCTGTTTCCAGTTCAGTTTTGTCATCTCTCCTGGATTACTGTCACGTCTTCTGAAGCTCTCCACCTTCAGTCCTGTCTCTTCTCACCATCTCTACACTGTTGTCACAAAGTCAGATCTGATCATTCATGTCCTGGTATAAATCTGTCTTGTCGAGGTTGTTCTTGGCTCTGCTTCTAACTCATCTCTGCCTTCCTCTCTGCTTCTAGTTATCCTTCACAACTGCCATTCCTCCAGTCGTCCTTCACTTTCCTACATGCTATTTCATCAGCCTGAACAGCCAGCCTATTTGCTGCCTGAGTCCCATTTTCTTTTTAGCATTACTGGGTTTGAACTTGGGACCTTGCACTTGCCAGGTAGGTGCTCTACCACTTAATCCACACCCCTCATCCCAGCCTTACTTGCTTTAGTTTTTTTCCTTTAAGTGGGACTGGGGTTTGAACTCAGGGCTTCATGCTTGCAAAGCAGGGGCTCTACTGCTTGAGCTACACCTCCAATTCATTTTGCTCTGGTTATTTTGAAGATAGACTCTTGCAAACTATTAGTCCAGGCTGGCCTTGGACCAAGATCCTCCTGATCTCACTTCCCAGTTAGGTAGTATTACAGGTGTGAGCTACCATTGCCCTGCTGCTTTAGTTATTTTTTCAATAGGGTCTCACACTTCTGCTGAGCCGACCTCTTATATGTAATTTCAGTGTAGGTGGGATGACAAGCTGGTACCCCCACATTCAGTTTTTATTGGTTAAGATGGGGTTCCACGAATTTTTTGCTAGGACTGGCCTTGAATCACAATTCTCCTGATCTCCACATTTCCCAAAGTAGCTAGAATTACAGGAGTGAGCTACCACACCCAGCTTCTATTAGCTAATCCTAAACATTCCTTAGATCTTAAATTTAGATGCCACTTCTTTTAGGAAACATTTCTTGACCTTCCCAATCTGGGTTACGTGACCGACCTGCATGCTTCCCAAATATGCCCTTCCCCTGTTGTTTTTTGTGTGTATTCTGGATTGACTACAACTTTGAGGGCGGTGTACGAGGCTGTCCTGTTGGAAGTAAGTCAGTCAGTCTCCAAAAGGTTACCACAGAGCTTCTTTTCCTCTTCCATCTGTGGCTAGAGGTAAGAATGAGAACGCCAGCTCTGAAAGTGAGACTTAGAGACAGCACAGCCAGGCCAGCTCCCTCAAAGCTGAATGCCAGCAAAATTGCTTTCTGGATTTTGCCACCTGTGGCCACAGCGAGAGTGGCCACATAATATAGATTTATTTCAGAATGTGTCTGCTGTAGGTTGAGCTGCTAAAGAACTGTAGGGTGAGATGCCAGAGAAGAAAAGCAAAGTCTGTGAATTAGTAAGTTAAGCCTTTGAACATCCTAAGCCACCAACATCCGAGAAAAATTGCTTTTCCGTTCTGGACTGTCTTAGATAATAAGTCTATGGAATGTCATAGATACTGTACAGTAACCCCACCCTCATTTAAAGGTGACATCTTGGCATTTTTGACATAGTGAAATGATGCAGGTTAAACTTGTGTTCTCTTAATAAAGGTGTATAAGCTGTATTTGCATGATACCTTTGCCCAAGTAAAGTGTTGTTTTGAGTCTTAGGAGGTTCTGTGTTTGTGTAGTATACTTTGGCAACTATATTAGGTAGTTCCTGGTAAAGTCAGGTCCCTATAGCCAGGATATTAGTTCAGAGTTTTGTTCATAAACCTTATTATGCCTTACAGGTACAGATATAATGCCTTACACTTGTACAGAGTTTTACAATTAAGTATGTACATGAGTATAACACAACTCTTGGAGGTGTGTGGAGCAGGGATTGTCACCTTCGATTTTACAGAAGAGAAATGGTGTAGCACAAATCATAAGCTAGTAAAGGAAGGAACCAGGGCTTGAGCACAGGTCTCACAATGCATGTTCCTGTGAGAATGTGCCATGGAGGCTTGTGCTCAAGATCATAATGTGTACATGTGAGTATGCTTCCTGAATACAGGGACAGCTGATCCTAAGATCTAGGCCAGTTGAGAAGCAGAATCAGATAGGACTTCTCATCATTGTAAATAAAGCTGGGTTGAAGAATGTGGTCTGGACTCATAGCAGAAGTCTCTCCTCACCATTCTGAGAGGGTATGAGTTTCTGTTGTGTCATCTTTACAGGAGAAGATCAGGATGGTTCTTCCCAAGGAGTTAATTCATTGGGAGAAAACTATAAACTCCTTAAGGGAAAGGAGCCTTTATCTCTAACACCTCCTGTTCTCCTATGTATACAGCACAGGGCTGACTGAACATTTCATTGTGCTCAACAAGTTCTTATTGACTGAAGTGTGGTCTTCACTATATCATAGAAAAAACAAAGGATAGGCACTGTCAGAGATAGAAAGACCTATTGTGTGTGTGAATGAATGATGATTAAAAACAATAGCACAGCCGGGCACTGGTGGCTTGCGCCTGTAATCCTAGCTACTCAGGAAGCAGAGATCGGGAGGACTGAGATTCGAAAGCCAGCCCAGGCAAATAATTAGCAAGACCCTATCTTAAAAATATCTAACACAAAAAGGGACTAGTGGAGTAGCTCATAGTGTGGGCCTTGAGTTCAAGTCCTGGTACTAGAAAACAATCAAAAATAGCACATTTTTTCTTTTACCCACATAAAAACACACTGGTTGGCAACCAAGCCATCTGGAACATAAGACCGTGCTGTGGCTATTGCAGGGTAGCTGCCTGACCCTTTGACTTTCTTTCCAGAGAGATAGCAACCCATTGATTCTTTTCTTAATCACATCTCACTTCTCAAATATTCTCTTTTGAACATCTTCAGAGAAAACCTCTTTAAACCCCCTTTCTCCGTTTCTTTTTTCTGTCTCTTTGTTGGGCTACTGAAGTTTTTTTTTTTTTTTTTCCTTCTTTCCTTTTCTATTCCCTCCTCCCACTGTCCTTTTCCCTTCCTAAAATTACTGTTTCTTCACTTGGTAGATAAGTAGAATTGTACTGATGATATTTTCCTTCATCAAGAGTAACATGACAGGCTTGGTGCAGTGGCTTACCACTATAATCTTAGCTACTCAGATGGTGGAGATGAGGAAGATTGAGGTTTGAGCCCAGCCTGGGCAGAAAGTTTACAAGATCCCATTTCAACCCATCAAAGCTAGGTGTGGTGTCACTTGCCTGTCACCCCAGCTATGTGGGAGGTGTGAATAGAAGGATCATGGTGGGCCCTGGCATAAAAGCAAGACCCTATTCAAAAAATACCTAAAGCAGTAAAGGCTGGGAGTGACTCAAGTGGTAGAAAGAACACCTGCCTAGTAAGCATGAGGCCCTGATTTCAAACCTCAGTACCACTAAGAAAAAAAGAAAATAACTTACATTATAGCAAATAAAAAATGAGGTTTTAAAAGTGTTGAAAGTGCCCAGAAAACCCACTTAGAGGGCTTTTACTGAAGTACCAGTATTAAGAATGAGCTTTTAATTCAGTTTATTTTTAAAAATGTTAGTACCGTATTGTGCCAGTTTTCAGTGCAAACAAAATTTCAGCAACGAATGTCCTGATCAGGCCTTTATGAGCCAATATATGCACCCAAGTGTAATTTGTCATTTTGTGAGGAAATGTGCAGCTTCCAGTTTTAGAATAGTAGACTGGACAAAACCAGCTTGGCCTGTGTTCTGGGGTCATCTTAAGTCTATTGTGCAAAGGGTGATTTGGATCCTCTTCATCAAGATCCAAACCAAACAGAATAGAGGGAGTTGTGCCTTTTGTTCACATGACTTCTGAACTTTGATGTGTTTGTCCCACAGGAAAAGCTTTTGACATCACCTATGTGCGTCTCAAGTTCCACACCAGCCGCCCAGAGAGCTTTGCCATTTATAAGCGTACTTGGGAGGATGGGCCTTGGATTCCTTACCAGTACTACAGTGGCTCCTGTGAGAATACCTACTCCAAGGCCAACCGTGGCTTCATCAGGACAGGCGAAGATGAGCAGCAGGCCTTGTGTACTGATGAATTCAGTGATATTTCTCCTCTCACTGGGGGCAACGTGGCCTTTTCAACCCTGGAAGGAAGGCCCAGCGCCTACAACTTTGACAATAGCCCTGTGCTGCAGGTAGGTACTCCCAGGGTGGTATCAGGACCACATGCCAGGTGCAAGGTTAATGCACTGGTCCTGTGCTCCCACCGCTGAGCTGAGAGGTCAGAGGAGACCCTCCTTCCACAGACAGACAGCTGGAGTTTATGCTGCTCCCCTGTGTGCTATTAGTATGTGAAAAAAGTTGCTTCCTTTCCACTGCCTCGTTGATGTTTGTTCTTATGTACTGCCAACATGGCCTGGCATTGAAATGTCACACATTTTAAAAAGTCAGATTAAGGTGGAAACATTTTAATTCTGACCTTTAAAAAGGATATATGACTTGGTCTACCCAATTTTCTTTTATCTTCTCTTACTGTTTTGTGATTTGCCAAAATAAAAACTGTTTTTTGAAATAAGCAAGGAAGAACAATTGAAATAAGATATTTAAGAATGCCACCTTCCTTCATTATTATAGAAGGAAAATTTTAAACTTTTTTACTAGTATATAATTAGTTGTACAGGCTGGTTTCATTATGATATTTCCATATATGATTATGTACTGTGGTTAGTTCACCCCTACCATCATTCTCCCTCATCCCCTCCCTCCCCACTTAAGACATTTTCATTGTTGTATTTTCATACAAGCATACAAAGTACGTGGACCATACTCTCCCTCCTTTACCCTCTGCACTTGCCCTTTCCCTCCTACTGGTACCCGCCTCCTAACAGGACCTGTTTTACATTCCTGTCCTTTGTTTTTTTAAAGTGTATATTCATTGTTCAAAGGGGTTTTGCTATGGTGTTTCACCTATGAATATATATTGTATTTTAATCAGGTTGATCTCCTCGGTGACTCTCCCTTACCCTTTCTCCCTTCCCCCGTTGTTCAACAGCTTTCAGTGCATTTCGTTATGCTATTTTCCTGCATAGAAGCAATGTATTTCAGTATGTATTCAATCTCATCTTTTTCTTTTCTTCTCCTCTATCTTGTCTCCTCAAACAGTCCCACTATGACAAACATGTCACATATATGTTTAATATGTGTATATATGTATGACATGTTTATATTTGTGTATATGTTTATCTTTTGGATCTTTCCTCCACATATGAGACAAGGAAATTTTGATTGGGCTTGTCTGGCACTGTTGACTATCCTTATAAGAACTCTTTTTGTCACCTGAAAGGCCAGGTGTTTGTTAGAGTTATCAGTTAAGTTCTTATGGTATTATGCTTAAAGCATCATAATAGAAACCTTTTCCCATCTTTTCTTTTTCTTTCTTTCTTTTTTTTTTTTTGGTGGGACTGGGATTTGAACTCAGGGCTTTGAGCTCACAAAACAGGTGCTCTACAGCTTACGCCACACCTCCAGTCCTTTTCCTGTCTTAAGAGTAGAAAAATTCTATATATATAATCCTTATATACCCTGACATGGAATCTTTGCATGTTGCTTAGATTTCAGTGAACTTTTCTTAGGCTCTGGCTGTGTGATTATGGAAAGGTTGGAGAGTCTTGTGCCATTCTTAGCACATTAACACAGAATTGGAGCCAAAACTCTCATGTGGCTTAAGTTCACATCTCAATGCAAGCAGCCTACATTCATTGGCTGTCACATGGAAGACTAGATATGGCTTTACAAATGTTGTATTCATTTTATAAAAAACTTAGGATTTCTAAATAGGAAGTCCTCCTGTTTTCCTGTTTTCTGGACTTTCTCTTTTGTTTTCTCATTCTTTGTCTGTGGAATTTATTATTACATTCAAGGACTCTTTTTCTAATTTGGTTGTGTGGTTTTGGGTTTTTCCAAAAAACAAGAGTTTCTCTATGGGTCCAGTTCCCTCCTGCCATTGTATTTCTGTAGGTTGCTGGAAGATGGTGAGTGTTAAAGTACTTGGTAAGTTCTGAGGTTGCGGTGAGACACGAATATGTTTCCAAAGACCTTTTAGAAAGATGTTTCTTGTGAAGGAGATAAGGCATATTCAGAATAAGTGACAGAAAGATAGCTTATTTGGATAGATGAAAAAGCAGAAGACTCAATGCCTCAGGGAGAAGGGATGCTCATAAACATTTGTCATTCTTGTTTCTTCCTACAGCAAGTTACAGCATTTTCCTGTACTGTACAGGCAGCAGTATAGTCAGTAGAAAAAGAGCAGTGTAGTAAAGTTATCACTGGCTTTCTGCTGCCTTTGCTGTCTGCTTGTCAGCTTGTCTTGAGCAGCTCCCCCATCTATAGGAATTCTGATGTTGGCTACTTTTATGTCAGAGAAGCCAACGAGACTATGTGTAGTAAGAATGCTGTGGGCATCTGCGTACATTTGCTCAGTTCACTTCATTTTTGTGGTGGCTTTAATTAGGTGTCTCTGGAAGTAAGAACCCTGGCTCTCATATCTCAAAGCCAAGGAGAGTGAGCTGACTTCACTCTTAGCTGACGTGACAGTGAGGAAAGAGGAAGGCAATGTCTTCCTGCAGAAGATGCAATCTCCCAGATGAAGGAGGAGACCCTTCCTGGCTTGCTGTGTATGAGTGTTAGCACGTATTGATATATAACAACAGTTAGCACTTATTGTGCACTTAGTTGTGCTATCATGTGGCAAGCACTGTTAGATATATTAACTCTTAACTCACATAATAACTCTGTAAATTAGATACTTTTATTATCCCTATTTTACAGATGAGGAATCAGAACCCAGACATGATACAACTTGTCCTAATAACAGTTTAAAGTGACAGAACTGAGATTAAAACCCTGTAAAGTCTATCTCCAGAGTCTGCCCTTTTTAAGATGTCCATTATGAAAATAATTGGCTTAGTGTCAGCTTTCCTTCTCCTTTGTAAAGGGGGACTGTGATGATGAAACCTGTAGAAGATATCATAAGCATTAAACAGAGATATGTTTAGCTATTTGCGTTACAGACAGCTAACAGATTCCTACCACTGTGGCCACGAGTGGGAGTTGTTATTGAGTTCCAGGTTTGGATATGGTGAAATCATCATCTCTTCTCCTCCTAATTATACTTGAACCTTCATGGAGATTAGCTTTTATGAGTCCTCTATGTTGATCTGTATGCCAGGTGTTTGGCATGTTTTAAGACAGTGGGTCTTAATTAGGAATATGCCTCCCCATCTCACATGGAGCCTTCTGAAAGCCTAGATGTCTGCACTGTTGTACTCACTTGTCATAACTTTGAAGGTGATTCTGACATACCTCCCTAGGACAGAGTAGAAGTGGTATCTTTGGGTGATAGTATATATTAAACCACTCCAAAATTTAATGGCTTTAAACAATCACAGTTTACTCTTTCTCATGATTTTGTGTTACCCTGGGCAGGTCAGCTCTCTCTCTGATTCCCCCAATCTCCATGGTCTTCCATTCTTAGGCTGCTAGACCAGGCTTTTCAATGTGACAGAGGAAGTATTCCCAGAGGGCAAGTTGCTGTGCACAAGTACTTATCAAGCCTCTACTTGTGTCACATTTGTATCTGATGTCCCCTCTGACAAAACCAGTCACACACCCAAGCCCAGGGCCAGCATGGAAAAGGAACTGCACAGGGTGTGACACCAGCAGGCATGATTCATTGGGATCATTATTATAACAGTCTGCTACACATGTAAGCATCTGATAAAATTAGCTCAATGAAAGGGCTTAAAATTAGATCTAAAGGCTTATATCCTCTGAAACTTAGGGAAGAACTGTACAATCTCTGTACAGTTTCTTCTGCTGTTAATGGCACACCTACAACTTGATCAGCTGTGGTTTCTTCAAATTCATTCACTCAGAAAGTAATTTCAGTGCTTGCTTTGGCAGCACATACTAAAATTGGAATGATACAGAGAGGATTAGCATGGCCCCTGTGCAAGGATGACATGAAAATTGGTGAAGCAGTCCGTATTTTTTAAACAATGAAAGACAGAAATATAAAACAGGTCATGTTAAGGGGAAGGTACTTGTAGAAGGGGGAGGGAAAAGAGGGTGAATATGGTTGATTTACTTCGTATACATGAATGAATATGGAGCATTGAAACCTGCATTAAGAAGGAGGAAGGGGAAGAAGGAGAATAATGGAGGGGATAAACCAAACTGGGGTACATTGTCTACATATATGGAAATATCTTGATGAAGCCCTCTGTTATATACTAATAAAAAGTTTAAAAAAAGAAGGATAATATTAATTTGCATACCTACTGTGTGCTAAACACGAGGGAAATTGCAGTGATAAAACAGACACAAATTTCCTACTCCTTATGTTTATTATCAGGTGGTGGACACAAGGTGTATGTGGCAATAGACAAGACAGATAAAACAAGAGGGAAGTAGAGTTGAGGGGAGGTAGCAATTTTAAGATGGAGTAGCCAGGAAAGATCTTACAGAGAAGGTCTCTGGGGAAGATCAAGACAAACAGACTGCGTTTTATTGGCCCAGGTCAGTATAATGACTTACTACTTTGTACTTAGCTGTCTGTCCCAGATCTATCAGTAGGGATGGGGTCTGGGAGGGAGAAAGGGATAGATGGTACAAAATGGGTAGGGGTGACAATGACCAACATATCTGGTTACAGTCTGGTATTCTATGAGATCTTGGCTGGTATCTCTGACTGTATTTGTGGCTTTGGGATAGAGAGAAGGGACATATATGTGTGTTCAGTGCCTAATTATGCTAGCCTTTTATTTTATTTTTTTTTATGCTAGCCTTTTAAATGTGTGCTTTATTTAAGACTTTCACCAGCCTTGTGAGAAATTAGCAATATTGCTTTTTGAAACTAAGTGATAAAGTAACAAGGACAATTGGAGAAGGAAAGAATCAGAGAAAAATATTAAGGAATTATCAAGTATTTTAATAGATTTAGCACAAGAAGAGGTCATAAGTTAGACGATACATGAACTATTTAGAAAATTTTGTCACAGTTTTGTCCTCCATTTTTAGTCCCTCACTTCTGTTTTATGTTTCTGTTTTTGTTTTTGCTTCCTGACAGGAATGGGTAACAGCCACTGACATCAGAGTGACTCTAAATCGCCTTAATACCTTTGGAGATGAAGTGTTTAATGACCCCAAAGTTCTCAAGTCTTATTATTATGCAGTCTCTGATTTTGCTGTGGGTGGCAGGTAGGTAGACTGTTAAATCAGCCTTAAATTATTGGAGCTTTGGTGTAAAGCATGTGTGGCTTTTACAGTTATATTAATACTGTTGTTAGACTTTCTCTTTACATTCAGTAGGAGGGGCAGAATGTAGGCATAATGCAGATCTGGAAAGACAGGCTCTAACCTAGAAATTTTTTCTTATCAGATCTAATTCTAGAAACTAAGGAATTAGATTTTCTTGCCTTGTTAAATCAACACCCTAGTGAATTCTCATTGATCATTTAAGTGCAAAGCTCCATGATAGCCAGAGCCTATCATGAGGAAGGACAGGACTGACTTCCTACTGAGAAGGTCCTCACCTTCTAGGACCCCCCCAGATGAATAGAGCAGGTGATGTATGAATGTGTGAAATTTTAAATACAGGTTGAGAAGCCTGAGGAGGTGGCACATATATTTAATCCTAGCACTTGGGAGGTGGAGGCAAATTCAAGGCCAGTGTGCCCTTCCTAGTGAGACCCCGTCTTAAAAAAGTAAAAATAAGATAAAATAAAGTAAATAAATAAGGTTGAGTGTCTCTAATCCAGAAATCCAAAATCTGAAATGTTCCAAAATCAGAAACTTTTGAGTGCCACAAGTGGATAGTCAAAAGTTAGGCACACTAAAAATATTGTATAGAATTATTTCAGGCTGTGTGTCTAAGTTGTATATGAATTTCATGTTTCCACTTTGGTTCCATTCCTAAGATACTACATTATGAATATGCAAATGTTCCAAAATATTTTTGAAAAAATCAAAAATCCAAACACTTCCAGGCTAGGGCTGAGGGCATGGCTCAAGTGGTAGGTACTTGCCTAGCAAATGTGAGGCCCTGAGTACTACAGAAAGAAACAAACAATAAACCCAAAGCCAAAATCAAAACAAAATCCTTCCAGTCCCAAGCATTCAGGATAAGGAATACTCAGTCTGTGCTAATGTAGTCATGTGTTTTAAGCAAAATGGTCAAGCCGCAGTAGAAACAATGCTTTGTATCAAGAAAGACATGGAAATGGATGGAATCTGAGCTGGATCTTGACTAGTAGAATTTAGATAAGAAGGGAAGACATCTGGATTGGGTACAGGAAGACAGGCATGTCATGAGCAAAAGGTCAGAGATGGGAGAGTTCCCACATACTTGATGGAAGGCAAATCTCTTAATACAAGTTTGTAGAACTATAAACTAGAAAGAGTGCAGTGCAGTGACCAGAGGCTAGACAACAGCCTAAGAATCTTGGACTTTTCCTTCCTTGTATTAAGACTATGACATCCCTAGAACAGAAAAATTATTTTTGTATATAGTGTGCCTGGTATGGAATTGATACTCAGTTGAAAGTGGAAATTTTTTTGTATTAAGAATGTGATACCAAAACAGGTTTAGGAAAAGGGCTGGCGGAGTGGAAGTGTGCCTGCCTAGCAAGTGTGAGCCTCTGAGTTCAAAGCCCAGTGCTGCCAAAAATATATATATATATATCAAAACAACAACAAAAAAAACCCAATTTAGGAAGATTAGTGTACAAGCAGGGTGAAAGTAGGGTACAATTGAGAGAATGTATATTCCTGTTAAGATGCTATATATTAGCTAGTTTGGCAATCACAACTATAATCCTGCTTGCTTGGGAGGTGAGATTGGAAGATTAAGGAAGGCTCCTGGCTAGCCCAGGGGAAATACACATGCTGTCATCCCAGTTAGGCAGAACATATAAATAGGAGGATTGAAGTCCAGACCCACTGAGGCATAAATTCGTGATTCTATTTGAAAAATAAATTGAAATGGGCTTGGGGTGGTGCTCAAGTAGTTGAACACCTGCCTAGCAAGCACAAAGCCCTGAGTACAACCATTTACAAAAAAAGCCATGTATTAAGTATCAAAGACCTGACAGGATAGTGACAAAAGAATGGAAAGGAACACATGGCTTCATTGTATTGTGAAGGAAGAATTATCAGGACTTTAGTCAAAGATGATTTTAAGGTTTAGTGATTAGGAGAACAGGGACCATTAAGCTCACAAGATTGATTGATTTGGGGGAGATAATACATTTAGTTAGACATGTAAAATTGTAGGTCATAGGGAGTTGAATCTTGTACAGCAGTCAAGCATAGGAGCTTGGGAGAAAGATGAGAACTGGAGATCTAAACTTAGGGCTCATGCTGTCACAATGAAGATGGTTCCAGAGGTTTACATGCATTTTTAAATGGTAGTTGAAGCTATGAAACTGATCGACATGTTTAAGGAAGCAAGTCAGGGAAATGTCACTACTTCATGGCACATTAGTATTCTTGGTGTTTCCTAGAGTCCTTAATTTATTATTATTCCTGCATCTAGGGGGTCTTTCAGGGATTTTTCCCTGAACAACCTGTAGGAATAGTCTGTTAGGTATCTAGATGGAGGATGAGGTGTCTAATTTAGTATCTCTCCACCTTCAAATGGAAATGCATTAGAATAATGGTGGCAGATTATTGTATTAATTTACGTGCCTTTGCAATCCTGAGTAGATAAATAAAATAACTCTCATTAGCCCCATAAGATAGATGTTATTATTGCCCCTGTTTCTTAAGTAAGCTCAGTTATGATGGTAAGTGATAGAAGGAATTCACACCCAAGTAGCCTGGCTTTCAGACTCCAAGCCCTTCCTAACCACTGCCTCTGCTGCCTCCTGACATACACTGACTTCAGGTGTCCTCAGGAACTGTTAGGGACTTTGCAGTCATGTTGGTGAATGTCCCATCTCCTATTAAATAAAGTTTGCTTTTAAAAATTTAATCTTACTCATTTCCTCAGTTCATACTTTTGAATGGTAGAATTCCAAAGCAGTCAGGTTGTTTTTAGTTCTCTGTGTGCACACTTTTTCTGTATCATTTCTGGGACCTTACAGCAATTCCATTCTTGGGAGTTTCTCTTCTCTTTGCCAGGTGTAAATGTAATGGACATGCCAGTGAGTGTGTGAAGAACGAATTTGACAAGCTGGTGTGTAATTGCAAACATAACACATATGGAGTTGACTGTGAAAAGTGCCTTCCTTTCTTCAATGACCGACCATGGAGGAGGGCGACTGCTGAAAGTGCCAGCGAGTGCCTGCGTGAGTGCCGGTGGTATAGTTTGTCCAGTTGTCTTAAGGACTCCAGAGGTGGAAGAAGGGATGGGTGGCTTTCCTCTGTTTCTCCTTGAGAGGAAAATTTAGACAGGCAGTGCTCCTTCAGTAATTTGAGAATAGAACAGTAAACTGCATTCATGTCAGAGGAAAATCATAGATGAAGGCAATTGGCCAAGAAGATCAACTCTGGTTTGTTTCCTTCATGAATACCAGCTTGGAAACAGCATTTCAAGATTTGGAAAATTGCTTAAATTCAAATACTGGGCCAGTGTGGCCCATCTAAGATAGGACCTGGCTAGTCCTTTTTGCCCTTTAAAATACAGCTATTCATCCATATCCACAGGAAATTGGTTTCAGAACCCTCCTCAGATACCATAATTCTTGGATGCCTAAGTCTTTTATATAAAATAGCATTAGTAATGCATGTAACCGGTGCACATGCTCTGTATACTTGAAATCATCTCTGGATTACTAATAGCTAACACAATGTGAATACTGTGTGAATAGTTGTTATTCTGTATTGTTTCAGGAATGGTGACAAGAAAGAAAAGTGCATGCTCAGGACAGATGAATTTTTCTTCCAAATATTTTCTTTGGCAGTTGGTTGAATTTGTGGATGGGGAACCCGCAGATACAGGGTTCTTCTTCCTATCAGTGCTTATTTACAAGCAGCCATCTTGACTAGCAGTGTCAGGTACAAGGATTTCTAGACTAAGAGTGTCATTCAGAAGACTATTTCTCAGTTATTTTTCCTTTATCTCACTAAGGGTACATTGGGAGAATCCCCTCCTCCCACAGAGGGCCGAGTGGCTTTGGAAGGAGGAGTTGGCCTTGTGTTCTTAGAAAAGGGAGAAATGAAGAAGTGAACACATTGTCTATCCCTTCATAAAGTCATGGTTTATTCTTAATGGTCAGAGAAAGAAAACTCAGGAGAAAGGAACCCTGGAATTATGATTTGTCAAGGACTTAAAAATAACAAACTTTTAAAGCAATTGTAATGTCCTAACAAACACTCTTCATCATAATGTGTTGGGAATGAGAAAGAAGACACTCCAGACTTGTAATTTATGGCAGAGAGAACAGACTGATTCCTTGACTCATGACTATTTTTATTGAGCTGCCTATAGCAGATTTCCTTCATTTTGTTTTCGCTAGACAAATGGAAGTTGCAGATAAAATTTGCAGCCTCCTCTAGCTCTTCTAAGCACTTGCTTGAACTTTTTAAATTCCTTTATTGCACTGAATTACCAGTGTTGGAAGCTATTATATAGACTGGTAAAAGGGAGAAAAAAACAAAAGACTGCTAAGATGTAGCATCTAAATAAATAAACACAAGTTTAAAAGTATTCTGCTTAATCATGTCATATTTTTAGTTTATCCAGGACATTATAAGAAAAACAAAGGAGACATTGCCCACTTACCACTAGCAAATGAACTGGCTTCTGTAGCTGCAGAACTTTGATGAGGAACTAAATCAATTTGCTTTCCTTCTCAGCATCTTTTTTCATTGTGATCTTTCACAAAGTGAAATTTTTAGATGTTGTTACTACTGCAGTACTGTTAGAACTCTGAGGCTAGGGAAGAGAAAATTATAGGTGCCTGCTCTCATACTAGCTGTCAATGAGGAAGTCACAGCATCTGCTTTAGCTCTGGATTGTAGCAGTGTGGACACAAAAATCGTCCTGCTTTATAGTCTCAGAGCACTAGACCTTTTAGGTGGGATGGGCTGGGTTGATTGAGAGATAATTAGAGGTGACTTGAGGGAGAAGAAATAGCTGATACAGAAAGGAAAGGGAGTTATAAAACTAACTTAACAAAACTCTAATTTTTGTTGCCAGTAACTCAGGTTTCTAAAGAAGTTTTTAACCCTACAACACTTTGAAAGAACTGATTGTATAGAAGGAAGAAAAAAGAGAAAATATATTCAGATATTTTGAAAAAGTAGTTAATTTCCTGCTCTATCTGAAACCAAGTACAACAAGATCTTATCTATACTTTGGCAGAATCAATAATTTTGAGAAAACCATGTTGCTATAAATATAGCAAAGATTTTCTGTGACCATAGGTACTTGTTCTTAAAATATAGTGTACCTAACAGGTGACTCAGTTGGAATTGTGGCTCCCTGTAGATGGATGTATCTGAAGGGTCTGAATTTCCCTTTAATTCTGCTTCCATCTTCAGAGGCACTAATTTTAACACATGTGTCTCAGGTTTCCCTAGTCTGTATATGTAAGTAATCTGGCACTTTGAAAGTTCGTGTCTTAATGTGTTTGAATCATCTGAGTCCTAAAAAGTTAAAATTAAAGACTGTGTATAAATTGGCAGCTTGGTCATGGAGTTGGTACTAGAAGTAGAGGATAGAGTCAGAAAGTTATAATTTAACTTGGCTTTTACTTATATATGCACAACTGCCTAAGGGCAGATTCTTTTTTGAACACAGGAATTCCTTGTATTATATCATGATCCTAATTTTTTATAAGGATGGATGTTTCTTAGTAACTGATAATCTGACTATATAAATTTTTAATTTACATCCTGGCTTTTGTTCTTATTTTTAACGAATTGATGTTAATGAATGAGACATCTGATAGTCATTCTTATTCTACACCACCTATCTGTTAAGAAGATGTAGGAAATTATGGTTTGGTTTTCTGGGAGTCTTAAAATGCTGTTTTTAAAGTATACAGATATGACATGACTTGTGCGTTTTGGTCAACAGCCTGTGACTGCAATGGCCGATCACAGGAATGCTACTTTGATCCTGAACTTTACCGTTCCACTGGCCACGGTGGCCACTGCACCAACTGCCAAGATAATACAGATGGCGCCAACTGTGAGAGGTGCCGGGAGAACTTCTTCCGCCTTGGGACCAACGAAGCCTGCTTTCCGTGCCACTGCAGTCCTGTTGGTAAGTAATAGGAAGGAACCACTTCAGCCTGCTAGTTTCAGAGACAAAGTCAGAAAATAAAGCTTTGTTTCCTGGGCATATAACTTAGTACGGAGGCATGTACGTTATTTCAGCATGTAAATGACACAGAATCAGCCTCTCTCCCTACCTTCACTCTCTTTAACCAAATAGAACTTTCAGATGATTTTCTAGTGTGTATAAAAATGGGGAGGTGCTCTGAGTCGTGGTTCTGTAAGTTGTTAGCAGCAGGGTCATAGAAACCACTTGAACTTTGACTGTAATAGGACCTTCCTTTTAGTAATTTTGTTTAATCTCCATAGAGGTTTGACCTATTGTGTGTCTAGATATGTACAGCATTCTTAGTGTAGTGTATTTTTTCAAGAGTTGAACTATTATTTTCTTCATGCCTATGTATACTTACATTGTAAACAGAGGTCTTAAGGAGCTTCTGCTTGCCCCTAGCAGTGACTGGCCCTATATGCAGTGTATCATTGGGTGCACAGTGACTTCTAAGTATTGTTCAACACTGATGAGTATGCCTGGAAAGTAAGACTGTCATGGCTGAAAAGGGTATGATTTTGAGAGAGTTCTGATTAAATATTTGACCTTTATTCTCTCTGTGACCATCTAGCGATTATATACTGGTTGTCAGCCATTGGTTTTAGTTACCAATTTGCTTACATGTCTATCTGGGTTTTTTAGGTTCTCTCAGCACACAGTGTGATAGTTATGGCAGATGCAGCTGTAAGCCAGGAGTGATGGGTGATAAGTGTGACCGTTGCCAGCCTGGATTCCATTCCCTCACTGAGGCAGGATGCAGGTAAAATGTCTTAAAACCAGATGAAGGGATAGAATTATATATAGTCAAGTTACAATAAATAGATCTTATGGCTTATTGGCAGCAGCCTAAGCATTTTCCCCACAATAATTGTCAGCAGATTCAAGAGTAGCTGTAATGATGAGCCAGTAGGACTTTGGTATGTACAGAGAGTGAGCAGTTTCTAATTTCTAAACGTGATTAGTATCCTTGACTAAAACCAAATCCAAATATAAAAAATATCTGTATGAAGTATATGTAAAACTTGTCAATGCATAAAGCAAAAGGTTGACTTTAAGAGTGGAATTTCTTTTCTCCCTGTTTTTCTCATTATTTTATTCCGTCTTCCATCAAACAGGCCATGTTCCTGTGATCCTTCTGGCAGCACAGATGAGTGTAACGTTGAAACAGGAAGATGTGCTTGCAAAGGCAATGTCGAAGGCTTCAGCTGTGAGAGGTGGCAGCTCCTTCTTGTCTCTAACTGTATTGTATTTTCACTGTTACCGTATTTCAAGTTAAAAAAATAACGGATTGTATCTTAATCTTTTCCAGATGCAAACCTGGATTTTTTAATCTGGAGTCCTCTAATCCTAGGGGTTGTACACCCTGCTTCTGCTTTGGACATTCTTCTGTCTGCACAAATGCAGTTGGCTACAGTGTTCATGCCATATCCTCTACCTTTCAGATTGGTAATTCTGACCTTACCTCTCAAACCTTGTAGAACTCTGAGACTATCCTTAAAATATATATATCTGTTTTTTTGAATCAGTAACTCTTTGACAAGAGTTTTTTTTTTTTTTTAATATTTATTTATTTATTGGCGGTACTGGGGTTTGAACTCAGTACCTTCCACTTGCTAGGCAGGGGCACTACTACTTGAGCCACACCTCTAGCTCTTTGAGGGTTTTTATGTTGGGAATGTTCTATTTAATTTAATGTGCATGATTTTTCTTGTGTGGCACCTTAATAAAAATACACATGGTTTTAGAATTTACTGTAGTGAACAGTGATTACAAGTGTTATATAAATAATATAGCAGAATGTAGCTTACAGGGTATGGCATTATGTAGAAACTATTTCAGGATCCATTTATTAAAAAACTTTTATTGCTGACTTTTTATGTACAAGGTGCAGCCTTCCACATTTTTTTGTGGGATATGGAAGACCCAAATTCAGGATGCTGACAATATAAAAGTACTTGTATCTTCCTTTACCTGCAGATGAGGACGGGTGGCGTGTGGAACAGAGGGATGGTTCTGAAGCATCTCTCGAGTGGTCCTCTGAAAGGCAAGATATTGCCGTTATCTCAGATAGCTACTTCCCTAGATACTTCATTGCGCCTGGTAAGTGAGGCCAGAAAGCAGTGTGACTTGTGGGTACTTCTCTTTAGTCTTATTCTCTCATTCTTATCAACCTTGTGTCTGCATTTCAGCAAAGTTCTTAGGCAACCAAGTGTTGAGTTATGGACAGAACCTCTCCTTCTCCTTCCGAGTGGACAGACGAGACACTCGCCTCTCTGCAGAAGACCTTGTGCTTGAGGGTGCTGGCTTGAGAGTGTCGGTGCCCTTGATTGCTCAGGGAAATTCCTATCCCAGTGAGACCACTGTGAAATACATCTTCAGGTGAGACTGCCTGCGTGATAAAATTAGTCTTGAGATAGGCTTGGTGGTGCACACTTCCAATCCCAGCTCTAGGGCGGCTGAGGCAAGAGGATTTCAAGTTTGAGGCCAGTCTGAGCTACATAGTAAGTATGAGGCCAGCCTGGGCTATTTAGGAGACCCTGACTCACAAAACAAAACAAATCAGACTTGACCTGCATTGTGAAAGTGGTTTCTTTATCTAAGTTTATGTGACCTCAAGGCATATGCTAAAGAAAAAGTCATAGGGTAAAGGTGTCTTTGTAAAAGGGATCCTCCCCTTGTTTACCTTCCCCTTTTCCAATTGTACTGCCAAACCAATAGTCCCCTTTCTGATCATGTTATCTTGTCAGAGCTTTGCGTTGTTGTTGTTGTTGGCATACATGAATAAGAAATGCGTTCCCAGCGCCCGGGATCATCCTTCCTTCCTTCCTTTCCTTCCAGGCTCCATGAAGCGACAGATTATCCTTGGAGGCCTGCTCTTTCCCCTTTTGAATTTCAGAAGCTCCTGAACAATTTGACCTCTGTCAAGATCCGTGGGACATACAATGAGAGAAGTAAGTTATGATATAATTTAGGTGAGTCGGTTAAGAAAACAATTAGGTAGAAGGAGCCATGGTAATGGTAAAGTTTACCTCTTCCAATACTGTAACACCGGTCTGAAAGAAAAAGTATAAACTACTAAAGTATATATGAATTATATATAAAAATGGTGTATTTTTAATCTACCTTCAGGGGTATGGAGAAAATTTGCTAATATTAGGAAATAGTGTTGTTTTATAAGTAACAAGCCAATTGAGGTTACATTTTACATACATTTTTCAAAAGTCTAATTCTTTTGGTTCAAGTTGCTTAACCTGCATTTCCTTTTATTACTATGTAATTATCAAGTATGTTGAACTATTGGCTAATTAGTGAAAAATTATGTGTTATTTAATGAACTTCTGCTATAATTTTAGATAAACAAGGTTTTAAAAATGTCTCTTGAAGTTTGTTTTTTTTTTTTAAATAAGGGCCTTTTTCTCTGAGGCCGTTTAGTGGAGGTAGGGTCAGTGTGACATGGGGAGTTGCGTCACTGGTGCGGGTGTGTTGTCTTGAAATGCCTGCATGAATATCCGTATGAAAATGTCTTAGAAGTAGTTAGAAATACGAATCTGGGCCTTAAGAAGAGGTTTGTACTAAAGATGTAAATTTAGAAGTTACCGACACACGAGCATTGATTTTTAAACTTGGAAATAGGACAGAACAGAGAGAGAGAATGAGAATAGAATCCCAGAAACATAGTTACATTATGTGCCTCAAGGCCCCAGGGAGACAAAGACTTTTAAGGAGAAGAAACAGTTACCAGCAGGTTTAGGAAGATAGCATCATTGGGTGTTGCTGTGTGGTTTAGGAATCATTGGTGAGGATTTTTGTGTTTATAGTTTTTAAGAAGTGTTGAAACTGAAGTCATGTTGCAGGGCTCTGAAAAGTAGTTTGAAGGTGAAGATGTAAAATAGAGAATATTCTTTTAAGAAGTTTGGCTATAAAGAAAGGAAAGCAGATGGATTATAATTTTGGAACAGGAGCAACACTGAAGGAAGAATATTTTTAGGATAGGGACACTTAAGAATATTTAGTGTTAGAAGCACATTAACCAATAGAGGCATATCTCATGATCTCACTGGGCAAAAAATCATAAACATTTAAAGTTAAGTTCAAGCCAGTAATAGAGGAAATATTCTTTAGCCTTAGTGGTCACTTTCCAAGTGAGTTACATAAACAGCAAGTGACCTTTCTTGACATAGGGAAGAATACGCTTTACGCATTAGATTGCAAAAGACTAGAGGGGAATGGAAATTAAAGGGAAATGTGATAAATGTTACCAAGGCTGCCTTCTCCCCTAGACTCTTGCTGCAGATACTGTCAGGTTCACTGCTAGACCGGATGAACTATTAGTCTAAGTCAGTAGTATAAGGTTTCTCCTATTTTTATTTTCTTATGGAAATGGAAAAGCATTGTGACATATGACATCAAGACTTTGGAGTAATTACATATTTGTCAGAAGTATTCCTGGGTGTTAGAACGAAGTTTCTGTGTTTTGCTGTTTTATGGAGGGCAAAAAATATAACCTGTGTGTTACCTGTTGACAGGCACTTTCCATGCTTTCTTATCTTCAAGCAGTCAATGCCTGCTTTGGTGGGAAAAAAACAAACACTGCTTAATGGCCATAGAATTGAACTCTTCTTTACTTCCCTACTTTTACTTATGTTTCTTCTCACCCCAAATGATTGTCAGATACTTTTCATTTTTCACATTGGTGACTGGGAAAACTGTAAAATCTAGCAAATGAGAGAGAAAGATAGGCAGACAGACACAGAGCCTAAGTTTGGCATGCCACTTCTTCAAGTACGTAGTATCCAGTAGCACATGATTGTACTAAATGCTAATTATTTTCTTCAGTGGACAGATTATGCTAATCTCTGGGTTTCTTTGGAATCTTGGGTCTGATTATTGAATTACTGACTTCCATAAGCTTTGGGAAAATGGAAGATCTTTCAGTGATTCTCTTTTCTACACCACGTGCAGGTGCTGGGTATTTGGACGATGTTACCCTGACAAGTGCTCGTCCTGGGCCTGGGGTCCCTGCTACTTGGGTGGAATCCTGCACCTGTCCAGTGGGATATGGAGGGCAGTTTTGTGAGACATGCCTCTCGGGTTACAGAAGAGAAACTCCAAGTCTTGGACCATATAGTCCATGTGTGCTTTGTACCTGCAATGGACACAGTGAGACCTGTGACCCTGAGACAGGTAGGAAGGTGACCTGTGGCAGCTGATGGGCTTGACTTCTCTTTAGCAGTTGGGTTGGAAATACTTACTGTCTTATTTACTTGTATTCTTGCCTAGCATCTCACACCTGCTTTCCAAATAGGTGTCTGTAACTGCAGAGACAATACAGCTGGCCCCCACTGTGAGAAATGTGGTGATGGATACTATGGAGATTCTACTGTGGGCACCTCCTCTGACTGCCAGCCTTGTCCGTGTCCTGGAGGCTCAAGTTGTGCTGTTGTTCCCAAGACAAAAGAGGTGGTTTGCACTAACTGTCCAACTGGTACCACTGGTGAGTCTGCTTCTTCCATCTGTGTTCAGTGCTCCATTTTATAAGAAGTTCAGAGGAGGACTGGGGCCATGGCACAAGTGGTAGAGCACTTGCCTACTTCCCAAGTGCAAGGCCCTGAGTTCAATCTCCATACTATAAAAATAATAACAGCCTGAGGGCTTTGGGTTTTTTGTTGTTTTTTTTTTAAGTTTTTTGGTTGATAATGGTTTTCCTAGGAGACAAAAATTTTGTAGAAAGAGGTTAATGGTGGATTCATAAAATGCATATTAGATGACTAGTGATAACCAGCTGGTGTTATGGGTGGGTGCTATCCTAAGCATTTACATGTAGTACCTCATTAGTCCTCACAATCCCACGGGTGAGTTCTGCTATCATTCTCATGCAACAACTAAGAAAACTGAGGCATGGAGACATTAAGTTTCATGTCCAAGACTGGATGACTAGGTGTTGGTCAAGCCTATGCCACAAACAGACTTCTTCAGACTTCTGGGCTTCTTGTAGTCCCTCAAATGTGCCAGAGTTGCCTCTTATATGCTATTTGCTCTGTTTAGAGTACTGTACCCCACTTTCTCCTATTCAAAACCTCGCTTTTCTCAGCCAGCTCCTGTCCTGTGTGGTTGAGTTGAAGCCTCACTTCCATAGGAAGACTTTCCTTCACCCTCTCACCCCAGGTTAGATGACTAGGGTTCCTACCCTGTTGCCTTGTTTGTTATCTCTTTGTAGAAGTACTGAGTAGAACATGGTGATAGAGATTCCTTTACTATTCATTCTTTTGTTTGATGGGGTACACTGCAACTGTAGACCTACATAATGAAGCACAGTGTTGACATTCTCATATCTGTCTAAATAATGCAAATGGTAAATTGAGACTATTTGGAGTACTTAATGGAAAGATGGCACGTAGGTGATTTTGGGAAATGTTTATAAACATATTAGTCACTAATCACATGTCTTCACATAAAACTTGTGACATACATTTGTTTTTCTTGGTTATTACCTGACTTAAAGAGAATGGTCTACAATTCTTGAAGATGTTAATTAGGATGTAGAGGTCTGTATGAAAACCAATACAGACCCTATTTCAAAAACAGTGTCTTCCTCTTTATCCCTATGTCCTGCTTCAGTTCTTTTCATAGGACTTTTTAAACACTTGACCTTTTTATCTGTATTCATTTGTGTATTGTCTGCCTCCTCCTCCACTCCTTCACTTCTGGTGTAAGCACCATAGAGCAGGGGCTTTGTTTTATTCACGTTGGCATCTCTAACACGCAGAACAGTGTTAAGCATAGCTATTGGTTGAATGAATGCAAATATTTGCTGAGTAAATGAATGGAGGTTGCATATACGAGGTAAGGTGTTCCTCATTGAGAAGACTTTTGAAGGCTGTGAATAACTGTGACAGTTACTGAGGCCCTCGTACAGTGTGCTTTTACATGTAATTTAATCTTTAAAACAGGTTTTGAAGGTAAAGAAATAGTAATGATCTTCTTTTTTCCCCAACAAACTTGAATGCTTGTTTTAGGGGTATCAAGATGAATAAAGGATGGTCCCTACTCCTCAGAGGCTAAAATTATGGAGGAAACAGAGACCATCTTAATATAGCATGGTTATTTCAGATAAGAGTACACACAGAGTTCTAAAGTTGAAGAAAAAAGGACTTCTCTTAAGTGAGGGGAGGGAAGACAAGGAAAACCAAGGCTAGAAAAATGTCCCACACCTAGAGTCACCCAAAGTCCTATAAGCAGTGTAGCCAGGATTTAAACCTAGCTCCTAGACTTTGAACAAAAAGGTACACTAACTGTAACTACCAAAGGCTATTTTTAGGGTGAGTTTTTCTCAGAATACTGGGTTTCTCTGTTTTAGTTTTTCTACCTAATTTTAGTTTAGGTTTTACTCAAAAACGTTTCAGGGCTTTTAAAATGTGGGTCATATCTGGAATAGCTAAATTATTTGATGAGAAAGCATAATTGGAATGCTGCCCTAATGCTCATCTGGAATGGATCGAATCAGTCTGGGGACTATTTACGTCAGGGCTGGGTGGGTTCCTTGTTCTCATCCTCTCCATTGTCCTGTTTCTAACTCTCCTGCTCCAGCTGCACCCACATGTCCTGCTCACTCACCTCTTCAGCCTATTTGTCAGACCCTTGGTCAGTTTTCTGTCCCTCTCCTGCCCACTCTCTCAGCTATGCTGGACATTGTTGACCATTCCCTCTGTTCCAAACATGGTCTATTGCCTTCGGTGACTTACTACCTTCCTAGGTTTTTTCCTTTCTTTTTTCTCTTGTATATTATTTGATCACAATTTCTCTCTTTCTCAGTGGGGGGCTTTCATATCAGCTTGATCTACAGTTTCCTCTTAGGTGATCACATCTCTTTTTAGAGGTTTAAAGCTTTTTGCTGCCTATGACTGCAAAATCTATATCTTTATTTTAGACCTGAGTGATTCTGTCCTAAGTGCCCAGCTGCCTTCTTGCCATCTCCACCTGGGTGGTGGGCTAGAAGCCTCCCACTTGCCTCCATGTCCACTCTCCACCTTCCCTCACCCCAATGAGATCTGTTTGCATTACCTCAAATCCAGCCTCCATTGGAGTGCAGGCTGGTGGTACCTATAGGAGATCAGAAAGGAGGAGGAGAGTGAAGACAAGAGTAGTTATTCCAAGGCCCCTCCCTATAAGGTCCTGCAGGTTGGACACCAAATTAAAGTTTTGAACTTTTAGCAGGTGGCCTTCTCCAAACAGCTCTTTCTAACTTTATGTTCTCATAACTGCTCCTTTTTTTTCTCTTATTCATATGTGCATACAATGTGTGGATCATTTCTCCCCCCTTTCCCCGCCACCTCTCTTACCCCTCCTACTCCCTCCCTTACCCCCCCCCTTACCCCTCGCTACCAGGCAGAAACTATTCTGCCCTTATCTCTAATTTTGTTGAAGAGAGAGTATAAGCAATAATAGGAAGGACCAAGGGTTTTGGTAGTTGAGATAAGGATAGCTATACAGGGATTTGACTTGCATTGCTTTCCTGTTCATGTGTGTTACCTTCTAAATTAATTCTTCTCAAACTAACCTTTTCTCTAGTTCCTGGTACCCTTCTCCTATTGGACTCTGTCGCTTTAAAGTATCTGCTTTAGTTTCTCTGCATTGAGGGCAACAAATACTATCTAGTTTTTTGGGTGTCTTACCTATCCTCATACCTCCCTGTGTGCTTTCACTTTATCGTGTGATCAGAGTTCTGTCCCCTTGTGTTTACCCTTGATCTAATGTCCGCATATGAGAGAGAACATACGATATTTGGTCTTTTGGGCCAGGCTAACCTCGCTCAGAATGATATTCTCCAGTTCCATCCATTTACCTGCGAATGATAGGATTTCATTCTTCTTCATGGCTGCATAAAATTCCATTGTATATAAATACCACATTTTCTTAATCCGTTCATCAGTAGTGGGGCATCTTGGCTGTTTCCAAAACTTGGCTATTGTGAATAGTGCTGCAATAAATATGGGTGTGCAGGTGCCTCTGGAGTAACCTGTGTCACATTCTTTTGGGTATATCCCCAAGAGTGGTATTGCTGGATCATATGGCAGATCTATTCATAACTGCTCCTTGACCATGCCCTGAGGCACAGGTAAGGAGCCCATCCCAGGCATTGTACTCTCCCTGTGGTTTCCTACCTCTGCCCATACTTCTATAGGAAAACCTTTATTAAATGTTCCTTAAGTCATGCCAGTTTGAATGTGCTACCTATTTCTGCTGGGCTCTTGATTCTTATGCTAAAGGAATCTCAGATTTAGGCAAATCCAAGCTAAATTATTAATTCCTTCCCTTTTCCTCCAATCCCAATCCTGCCCTTTCCCTAATCATATTCATCTCAATATATCGCCGTTCACCTAGTTGTTCAAGTCAAGTCCTAGGGCTTATGCTTGATTCTTCTAATTTTCATTCCCCAGAAATACCCAGGCAGTCTCACTGATTCTATTTCCAACCTGATCACTTTTCACTTCCTCCACTGCCACCACCCTGGTTTCAACCATTCTCACTTGTCACCTGGAATTGCCTCATTGGTCTCTCTGCTTCACCTGCTCCCCTAAGATCCATTCTCCACATGGAAGCCAGAATAATACTTTTAAAATATAATCAGCCTGTAATCCAAGCTACTGGGGAAGGCAGATGGAGGAGGATCACTGTCTAAAATCAGTTTGGGCAAAAGCACTAGACCCTATCAAAAATAAACTCAAGCAAAAAGGGCTGCGGGTATAGCTCAAGAACATCCTGAGTACCACAAAAAAAAAAAAAAAAAAAAAAAGACATCACTTTTTAAATCCTCCAGTAGCTTCTCTTTCTCTTTCTTTCTCTTTGTGGTGCTGAGGATCAAACCCAGAGCCTTGTGCATGCTTTCCAATAACCACTCGCTGACGTTAAATTTAAATACAGATTTCTTACTGTCACATACATGGGCTGTTCTTACTGCCGTCACAGATGGTCTCATTTTTCTGAAACATTATTCCATTGATATTTTCATGGCTGATTTCTTGTCTCCTCCTTACAGAGATTTTCTGTAACCCCCCAATCTGTCATTTTGTTTTGTCACCACTTTAACTTTTTTACGTTTATACTATCTGAAGTCATTTTGTTTATGTATCTGTGTGTTAATCCTCCCTCAACTGCAGCATAAATTTAATGAATACAGAGACCATGTTCACTTTGTTCACATTGTCCTGGCAACCTAAAACAGTGCAAGGATATAGTAGATGCTCAGTAAATATCTGTTGACTGAATAAGTGAATAAACCTCTAATTCTCCAGAAATTTTAGGCACTGTTGGCTACAAAGATATCAAGAGTCCAATTTGAGGTGATGATGGTGGGCAAGTAGAAAAGGAAGGATGGAGAGCAGTGAGTTCAGTACTGTGGAAAGAGCTCTGATTTTAGCTCTACCTTCTTCCTGCCAGTTATTTGGTTGTGGGAAAGTTACTTTCCCTTAGCTCCAAGGAGGTGGCAATGGATGATTTTAAGCTCTGTTCTAGAAATCTCTGATTCTGTACTAGTTGACATTGCTCAAAAGGGATAGCACATGCCTTTTATGTGTTAAGAGAACTGTCCTGCTCACTCAGTTGTTTGGAAAACTTATTGTGTCAAGACTGGCACTTCATCTTTTTAAATATTATCAGCTAAAACAAACGTATATAAATGTACCATTCCTGGGACTAGAAGGCTAATACACTTTGGGCCTGACTCATTTACAAAGCATTTGTTTGTTTTGTTGCTTTTTTTTTTTTTTTTTTTTTGAGACAGGTTCTCTCTATGTAGCCTATGCTGGCCTCAAACTCACAGTCCTCCTGCCTCAGCCATGTGAGTGGTAGGATTATAGCCTTGAACCACCATGCCCCAGTTTACAAAACACTTTTAATAAAGCATTTGTGGTTAATTCTCAGAACATTTGAAGCGAGGTTATCAAATCAGGGGATGTCTTTCTAATGAGGAAGCAGAGATGTGCTCAAGTCACACTACTGGTCTGGCCTCAAGCCAAGGCTCTAGCCCAGGTCCCCTGCCTTCCACTGCCCCATGTTGCCTAGTGACATGACTAGATTATCTGTAATCACTGGTGATCTGACACCAGAATGTTGAAGCCCTTTCTTTTGTAACATCAGATGGATTGTCTCCTCCCCAGGCAAGAGATGTGAGCTCTGTGATGATGGCTACTTTGGAGATCCTCTGGGCAGAAATGGCCCCGTGAGGCTCTGCCGGCTATGTCAGTGCAACGACAACATCGATCCAAACGCAGTTGGAAATTGCAATCGATTGACGGGAGAATGCCTGAAATGCATCTATAACACTGCTGGCTTCTACTGTGACAGGTGCAAAGATGGATTTTTTGGAAATCCCCTTGCTCCTAATCCATCAGACAAATGCAAAGGTAATTAGTCACTGGTCAGACTGTCACAAATTCCCCTTTATAGGAGAATTCATTATGTGTCTTTTATACTAGTTTGGTTTAATGTGGTACTATCCAATAAAAATAGTTTGAGCCACTTATGTAATTAAAATTTTTTCTAGTTACCATATGAAATAAGTAAAAAACAGAAGTAGTTCATATTAATGTATTGTATTCACCCTAATATACCCACTATATTACAATTTCAGCAAATGATCAATAAAAATTATCATGAGATATGTTAGCTTTTCACACTAAGTCTTCACAATCCAGTGTGTCTTTCACATTCATAGTACATCTGCATTCAGACTAGCCAGCCACATTTCAAGTGCTCCAGAGCAATATGTGACCATGGCTTCTGTGTAAGACAGTACAAGTCCAAAGAACTTATATGAGTGTTTATGCTTTCTGTGGTGATTTGCATCTTTTGCTGCCTCTCTCTTCCTGCTCCAGCCTGTGATTGCAATCCATACGGGACAGTGAAACAGCAGAGTGGCTGTAACCCTGTGACTGGGCAGTGTGAATGTCTGCCTCATGTGTCTGGCCGGGACTGTGGTACTTGCAACCCTGGCTTCTACAACCTGCAGAGTGGGCAAGGCTGTGAGAGGTAAGACATCAGTGCCTTTGGTGGAAGTCATCTTTGCTTTTTGTATAGTTAGAAGTGGATTTGTGTGTGTGTGTGTGTGTGTGTGTGTGTGTAACTGGGGGTTGAACTCAGGGCCTCTCACTTGGTAGGCAGGCACTCCTTGAGCCACTCCACCAACCCTTTTTTGGTATTGGGTATATTTGAGGTAGGGTCTCATGAACTATTTGCCTGGGCTGGCTTTGAAATGTGATCCTCCTGATCTCTGCCTCCCGAGTAGCTAGGATTACAGGTGTGAGCCACCAGCACTCAGCAAGAAGTGGATTTTTATGAAATTATATTTAATAGTTGGCTTGATTTTGTTCAGGAATGATTGTACTGCCTAATACTGGAAAGACTCCCTTTAAGGGCAGTATTAAAGAATTGTAAGTAAACTAATGGAGCAAAGGAATGGGGCACAGTGGCCCCATCTGTGTCAGAATCATCTGAACAACATCTTAAAACTATGAATTACAAGGTTTTTCTCTGAGACAGGACCCTGCAGGGTTGCAGCCCAGGAATTCCTGCCAGTGGTGGTCAGCTGCTCCTGGTCAGTGCCAATAGGATACCAGTTTAGAGACCATTGTAGTGGTGAGCTTGAAAAAGAGATCCTGAATAGCACTTATAGAAATTACTTGAACCTCAGGGACTTACTTACCTCTTAACATTCTGTCCTAATAACCCTTAACATTAGTACTATGCTGAAGAACAGCAGAGTTTTGCTTAATGCCTATTTTCTCTTACCTGAGAGGTGTCCTCTGTTCCTTTTCAGGTGTGACTGTCATGCTTTGGGTTCCACCAATGGGCAGTGTGACATACGCACCGGCCAGTGTGAGTGCCAGCCTGGCATCACTGGTCAGCACTGTGAGCACTGTGAGATCAACCACTTTGGGTTTGGACCTGAAGGCTGCAAACGTAAGATGTGTTGGTGGCATACAACTACAAGTCTCTCTTGATTCCACTTGGAACCTTCTATCCAGAATGGACCTTGACTGTCTGTGTCTGGCCACTTGGCTTGTAGTTAGGGCTGTACCTAAGTCACTGTGGATGCTTTACCCATGAATATTGTCCTTTTCTAAAATTGGAAGTCAAGGGTTTCTCTGGCTTCCTTGCAAACACTTTATATATATTTCCTTTATAGTGTTTTTTATTCTTTTTCTTTCTAGTCATTTTTTTTCTAAAGAAAAATCTCCCCTTGATTACTGAGCTTGCCCACTCTGTTGAATGAACATTTTTATTGATCACATTCTTCGTGCAGACAATGGAACAGTGAAGGATTCTGTTCCCAGCGTGTTTGTTGACTTACTGACTGCAGTTGCTTCCCACCCTTGGGGCCTTTTTTGTCCAGTTGCATATAAACATCTGCTTCTCCTTGGCATAAACATTTGCTTGGAATTGGGCCTCTGAACAATTTGGGTTTTTGCTTTCTGAATTCCTTCATTTCTTCTGTGGAATGTAGCATAAGTCATTGACTCAGTTCAGAGAACAAAGTGAGTAAACAAACTATAAAGGAGTACAAGAGAAGCATTAGCATTTGGGTTTTCTCATTACCTAGAGAAATATTGAGCAGTAGAGAGATGAAGATAGAGATGGATTCTTGAAGTACATGAAAAGAGGCACTGATTAATAGTTCCTATAATTTTGTTTTTGAGACAAGGTATCACTATATAGCCCGGTCTGGCCTTGAATTCATGATCCTCCTGCCTCAGCCTCAGGAGTGCTGGTGTTACAGGCATATACCATCATGCCTGGCATTTCTGTATTATTAAGTAACATAGAATATGCCCCCAGCTTATTTTTACTTTAAAAAATGTCATTCTTCTCTGCTTAATGAACTTAACCATTTGTATTCTCATAAAAGAACCTTTTAAAAAAGTCCAATAATGTCAGTAGTCAGCTTATTGTTATCAGTCTGAGTTAAGAGAAAATACACCCTTCCTTCCTTTGCTCATGCATTCTTTTCTCCCTATTCTGCAGCTTGTGACTGTCATCCTGAGGGGTCCCTTTCCCTCCAGTGCAAAGATGATGGTCGCTGTGAATGCAGAGAAGGCTTTGTGGGAAATCGCTGTGACCAGTGTGAAGAGAACTATTTCTACAATCGGTCTTGGCCTGGCTGCCAGGAATGCCCAGCTTGTTATCGGCTGGTGAAGGACAAGGTAGGCTGTCAGCAGCCATTGAGTGGAAAGCTCTAGGAAAAAAAATGTGAACAAGTTAGACATGAACCCTCTTCTCAAAGGCTTGTGTTCCAGTTTGGGAAGCAAATAACGAAAATTAAATAAATAAACAAAGGAAATACTAAGATAAGTGGCAAAAAGCATAGAAATAACTATGGGAAACTAATTAAGTATAAAATGAGATCTGAAGGATAAGATGGAGTGAGCCAAGTTAGAGGTAATGGCAGGTTGTTCTGCGCAGAACGAATGTAATGGGAATGTAATATACAGAGGCCTGGAAGCTGGAGGGTGGCTGGAACTTGTCCAATGAAGGGAGTTTGGAAGGGACAGTTTATATATAACCATGGTGACCATACTAAAGAGTTTCGATCTTATTCCCAAATCCAGTGGGAATGTACTCTAGAAACTCTCCGAAGCTTGGAAATCCAGTTTTGTATTTTAAGAGTAACACTCTGTCTGCTACATAAAGAATGATAGGAATGAGGCCAAAGGGGAAGCCCCAGTGGGATTGGATAAACATGTGTTTGGGTAGGATAGAGTAAGGGAAGGATCTAGGCTAGGCTTTAGGATTCTTACTTAAGGAAGCTAGAGCTGTTATTTACTGAGGTACTGCAGAGAGAACAGATTTTAGAGGTACAGTTTGGGTGGTTAAGTTTGGGACACCTATCAGAGAGTAAAGTGAAGAAATCAAGATGTAATCTAACACTTCAGGGAGAGGTCATAACTGAGTTGTCAGCATACTATAAAGGCAGAAGAATGGTTGTAAGAGCTTTCTCCTGAAACCAGAGAAACAAAGATGAGCTATCCATGTTGTCTGTAAAAAGTAGACATACCTACAGTGTGCAGACCTATGTCTGTATAGAGTGCCCTGTAATCCCTGCAGGAAGCACAGTTAATTTCTTTCCCTTTTCCTCCATGGTGTCAGGTTGCTGACCATCGAGTGAAACTCCAGGAATTAGAGAGTATCATAGCCAACCTTGGAACTGGGGATGAGATGGTGACAGATCAAGCCTTCGAGGATAGACTAAAGGAAGCAGAGAGAGAGGTGATGGACCTCCTTCGTGAGGCTCAGGATGTCAAAGGTACACGTGATTCAGCTGTGCTTAACTTTGTGAAGTGGTTTCTAATTCACAGTTAGTTGGTATGGTTTTACTAAATTCTCAATTTTTAAACTACTGGCAGAATATGAATTATTTTATTTTTAACAGTATTTCAAAAACGACCTGTTGCCTTAATGCTTTTAAATATAGTAAAGAGAAGAAAGTTTTCCAACATCAAAAACTATTTGATGTTCAAATTTAAGATATTTTATAAATCTATTCTATTTCAGGGTGTTTTAAAATTTAAGTTTAAAATATCATTAAAGACATGTATTTTTTAGTATGTTCATTTTCCACCAACTTTTGACACACATTTTTATGTAGAAAATTTAAACTTTGATTTTTTTCATCATTCTAGTGAGTGAGAACTTATTTTGTGTACTGCTTTATTTCCTTAGAAAGGACATTTATAAGGAAAAATCAAGATTTTCAAGAATTAATTGGTATTTGCAAAAATAAACATTAGAAGTTAGTTCCTGGTTATGAAGTGCTGTGTCTGATTAGCAAACAAATGTACTATTAACATTATACAAAAGCATATTCTTATATATTCCGTACATTTTTAAGGTCCTTTATAATTACATCATTCCGTTACATATTATCTGATGTGAATGATGATAATCAGAAGAGACTATTAAGATTTAGAAACCAATTTAAAAGAAAAAATACTTTGCTAGGTATAGTAGTTCATGCCTATAATCCCAGCACTCAGGAGACTGAGGCATGAAGATAGTAAGTTTGAGGTCAGTCAGGGCTACATAGCGAGATCCTATCATATCAAAAAAAAAAAAAGCTTCATTAACTTTCAAAGAAACTTCGTTTTAAAACTTGGACATTAAAATAAGTTCTTTGATGTAATTAACTTACTGTTGTTTTTATTTTACTCTGTGAGTTGAGCTTTTGTCTAAATATAGGTGAGTCCTTTTCTATACTTACCAAGTGCCTGTATTAAGCTAGGTATTGTGCTCAATACCAGTAATGAAAAGACAGATAAGATGCTGCTCACACTACCCAAGTGCTCACCATCAGGCTGAGGTCACCTAGCATAGGGCTTTCCATCATTATGCATTAAAATTAGTATGTTTGGCATAGCAATGATTGGTTTTACTTCTGGGTTTATAAATCTGTATCCATTTGGAGTTACACAGGAAGTCTACCTGTGAGAGTGTAGGTCAACAGACACTAAATTTCTTGCTTATTTCTTCTTGTAAATAACTCTAGTATCTAGAATTTCAATTTTAGGTGATTACTGAAGTAGAGAATGAAGTAATTTGTTGTGTCTGGTTTTGATTAGCTTGTTTGATTTTTATATGAGAGTCCAGAATTTGTCCCATGAGGTAAATTTTTAGAAATTGAAAAAAAATAAGTGAGTTTATGGTTTTGGTTTTGGTTGTTTGTGTTACAGAATAAGAAAAATTTAAACCTTTCATTTTAATAATAGTGGATAATTTTAGGATGTTTGTCTGCAAGCAACAACTTTTGTCACACATTTTCCAATTCTATTGAAACAACATCTTCACATCTGTCTTGCTGTACACATTGAAGGATTATCTGTGTGGTTGTATTCTTAAGTGCCAACTAGTCCAGCCAAGTGCTCTGATAGCACCACCAGCACCTGGGAGTCGGTCAAGAAAGAAAGGGGAATTAGTGTCGGCACCTGTCTAAGCTCCAAGTGTCGTAGCACAGCCTTAGCTACTTTAACTTCTATTTCCTGTGCCCAAACAGCTGGTTCTTTGGAGCCACCTAGAAGATGGTTCAGAGCTCAATGGGCTTCTCCTTCCCAAAGCAGAATCCTAGTGGGGCTGGAGTTAAATTCACTTGCCCTGAGACTTAAGTTGTAGAGTTCTAAACTGACCTTTCCTGTCTAGGGTCAAACAGCCAAGAATAAAATTGTCTTCATAATGATCTTTTAAGGCTATCCCTAAGTATTCATTAATGGTTTAAACCTGTGTTTATTCTGCAGGCTTTCAAGGAGTCCTGTGGTACAGTTAGATCTTACAAGTAGACACTTGGGATTGACAGGCATTTGTAGTGAATCTTCCAGTTAGGTTGTCTGCTTGCTTTTTAGATGCTATTGTTTCTCTAGAGAACTAGTCAGAGAGCTCATTGGCTATTGCATTCTGAAGGTCTAAAGGGAAGGAACTTCCTTAACACCATTGGCTGCTTCTGCCTCCTAAATCTCAGATTATTTCTGATCTAAACTTGTTTTAAGAAACTTTGTAGTTTCTTAAAAATCTTTAGGTTATCCAAGAATTGTTTAAATAATCTTCAAGTAGAACACTGCATACAGGTAGGCAAGTTGTGCGGTACATTACCCTTGTTCAATATTTGGTGGCTGTGCTTCCAAGTTGCTATTTTCCAAACCTGTATACATCTTTATTGGTCTTAACTTTGACATCTTACCTTCTTTTTAATCTTTGAAAAATTTAGACCCCAACACTAAGCATCATGCTCAAATAACTCATCAGTTTTTAAAAATTAAATTTTTTGGCTCATGCAGGTAATCCTGGGAGGCAGAGATCAGGAGTATCATGGTTTGAGGCCAGCCCAGGCAAAAAGTTTGCAAGACCCTTTCTCAACCATGGGGCATGGTGAGACATACTTGTCACCCCAGCTACATGGGAAGCATAAATAGGAGGACCATTGTCCAGGCTGGGGAACATAATTTTTAAATAGCAAATGAAAAGGGCTGGGGGTGTGGCTCAAGTATTAGAGCACCTGCCTAGTAAGCAAAAGTCCCAGTAACATCAAAAATAATTAAATTTTGAATTGATAGATTAAAATATGAACACTGTATATATTAACTGGGTAATATATTTTGATACTTGCATATATTTTGTAATGTTTAAATCAGGTTAAATATATCTATCTCAAACATTTTATCCTTTATGATGAAAACTTTCAAAATTTGTTGTACTTTTTAAAAATGTTATAATACAATATATTATCCAGAGCTTCTTGCTAGCATCTAACCATAACTTAGTACATTGATCAACCACTTCCCGTCCTTACTCCTTCTGCTTTTCCTAGTAATCATTCTACTTTCAACTTCTGTGAGAAGAACTTTTTTAGATTCCATTTCTGTGTCTGGCTTATTTCACTTAACGTAATAATCTCCAGTTAGATCTATATTGTTGCTAATGACAATATTTCATTCTTTTTATGGCTGAATAATATTCCAATTGTCCATTCATTGGTTGGTTGATGGACACCTCACTTGTTTCCATTTTTTGGCTGTTGTGAATAATGCTGCAATACGTATGAGAATGCCAGTGTCTCTTCAACATTTTCATATATCATTTGGATATATACCCACTAGTAAAATTGTTGAGTCATACGTAGCTCTATTTTTAATATTTTGAGGAACCTCCTCATTGTTTTCCACAGTGGCTATATTAATTTACATTCCCCCCAGCAGTGTGCAAGGGTTCTCTTTCTCCACATGCTCACCAGCCGTTATTACCTTCAGCCTTTTTGACAATAGCCATTCGGACTGGAGTGAGGTGATACCTCATTGTAATTTTGAGTTGCATTTCCCTGATGATTAGTGATGCTGAGCATTTTTCCATATGCCTTTTGGTTATTTGAATGTCTCTTTTGACAATGTCTATTTAGATCTAGTGCCTATTTTCTTAATCAGATTTTTTTAGTTTTTGGCTAGATGTCCAGCCATTTCCAGATGTCTGCCTTATATGTATTTTCTCCCCTTGAATAGGTTGCCTCCTTCTTCTTTTGTCTCCTGTCCAGTGCAAACAACTTTTAGTTGGATTTAATCCCATTTGTCTGTTGCTTTTGTTTCCTGTGCTTCTGGTGTTCACAAAAACAAAAAACAAAACAAAACAAAAAAGTCCTTGTCCATTCCAATGTCCTGAAGCATTTTCCCTGTGTTTCCTTCTGGTAGTTTTATTGTTTTAGGGCTTATATCTAAGTCTTTAATCCTGATTTTTGTAACTACTGAGAGATTGGGGTCTAGTTTCATTCTTCTACATAGGGATATCCAGTTTTCTTGGCACCATTTATTTTTTTATTTTTTATTTTTTTATTACTTTATTATTCATATGTGCATACAAGGCTTGGTTCATTTCTCTCCCCTGCCCCCACCCCCTCCCTTACCACCCACTCCGCCCCCTCCCTCTCTCCCCCACCCCCTCAAAACCCAGCAGAAACTATTTTGCCCTTATTTCTAATTTTGTTGTAGAGAGAGTATAGGCAATAATAGGAAGGAACAAGGGTTTTTGCTGGTTGAGATAAGGATAGCTATACAGGGAGTTGACTCACATTAATTTCCTGTGTGTGTGTGTTACCTTCTAGGTTAATTCTTTTTGATCTCACCTTTTCTCTAGTTCCTGGTCCCCTTTTCCTATTGGCCTCAGTTGCTTTAAGGTATCTGCTTTAGTTTCTCTGCGTTAAGGGCAACAAATGCTAGCTAATTTTTTAGGTGTCTTACCTATCCTCACCCCTCCTTGTGTGCTCTCGCTTTTATCATGTGCTCAAAGTCCAATCCCCTTGTTGTGTTTGCCCTTGATCTAATGTCCACATATGAGGGAGAACATATGATTTTTGGTCTTTTGGGCCAGGCTAACCTCACTCAGAATGATGTTCTCCAATTCCATCCATTTACCAGCGAATGATAACATTTCGTTCTTCTTCATGGCTGCATAAAATTCCATTGTGTATAGATACCACATTTTCTTAATCCATTCGTCAGTGGTGGCATCTTGGCTGTTTCCATAACTTGGCTATTGTGAATAGTGCCGCAATAAACATGGGTGTGCAGGTGCCTCTGGAGTAACCTGTGTCACAGTCTTTTGGGTATATCCCCAAGAGTGGTATTGCTGGATCAAATGGTAGATCAATGTTAGCTTTTTTAAGTAGCCTCCAAATTTTTTTCCAGAGTGGTTGTACTAGTTTACATTCCCACCAACAGTGTAAGAGGGTTCCTTTTTCCCGCATCCTCGCCAACACCTGTTGTTGGTGGTGTTGCTAATGATGGCTATTCTAACAGGGGTGAGGTGGAATCTTAGTGTGGTTTTAATTTGCATTTCCTTTATTGCTAGAGATGGTGAGCATTTTTTCATGTGTTTTTGGCCATTTGAATTTCTTCTTTGAGAAAGTTCTGTTCACTTGCCCATTTCTTTATTGGTTCATTAGTTTTGGGAGAATTTAGTTTTTTAAGTTCCCTATATATTCTGGTTATCAGTCCTTTTTCTGATGTGTAGCTGGCAAATATTTTCTCCCACTCTGTGGGTGTTCTCTTCAGTTTAGAGACATTTCTTTTGATGAACAGAAGCTTTTAGTTTTATGAGGTCCCATTTATCTATGCTATCTCTTAGTTGCTGTGCTGCTGGGGTTTCATTGAGAAAGTTCTTACCTATACCTACTAACTGCAGAGTATTTCCTACTCTTTCCTGTATCAACTTAAGAGTTTGTGGTCTGATATTAAGATCCTTGATCCATTTTGAGTTAATATTGGTATAGGGTGATATACATGGATCTAGTTTCAGTTTTTTGCAGCCTGCTAACCAGTTTTCCCAGCAGTTTTTGTTGAAGAGGCTGCTATTTCTCCATCGTATATTTTTAGCTCCTTTGTCAAAGATAAGTTGGTTATAGTTGTGTGGCTTCATATCTGGATCCTCTGTTCTGTTCCACTGGTCTTCATGTCTGTTTTTGTCAGCACCATGTATTGAAGGCTGTCTTTTCTCCCCTGCATGTATTTGCCGACATTTGTGAAAACTGGTTAGCTGTAGATGCAATCTATTCTGTTCCAAGAACTTGCCAATTTTGAATAAGACTTACTTAGTATTTTTTTTTTTAAATATTAGTATAACTCATGACGTGCAGATTTAATACTGGCAGGCTTTCTATTTGTACGTTCTAATGTTTATCACTTGATTTATGAGGCTTAAGTTGAATGGGCATAATTAATAAAGAACGATTTGAGGAACTCTCTCAAACAGATCAGTTTGAGAGAAAGTACATAGATATGCTGGGGCAAGTAAGGAAGAAGTAGCAGGAAGAGTCTATTCAGTTTAAAATAGAAAGTGAGCTGCATTTGCCATACTTCAACATCTGGTTTAAACATAGTCCCCCCACCCCCAGGTTTTGAAATCTGTTTAATTTTCAGCATTCTTAGCAACATTGTATATTTATGATTGAAAACTGGCAAGTGCTGGAATATCAAAGCCAATCTTTCCTTCCTTCATCAAACATTCCTTGGTTGTCTTATATCTGCCAACCTCTGTATAAGGCTGTGGATGCAGTGATGAATAGGAAAGAGGGACTCAGGGTCAAGTGGAGAACCGTGTGAGGAATGTGGCAGTGAGGGTGTCACTGGCATGGTGGAGACTAAATGGCTGTTCTGGTGGGCCTCGGGAAAACTTGTCACATGCTATGTTTGGAAGAGTAAAGATACGTGGTGCCTCAAATTTCATGAGAGATGTTACGACCTCTGGATAATTTGTTTACTTTTTTCTGCAATACTATTTCAGATGTTGATCAGAATTTGATGGATAGACTTCAAAGAGTGAATAACACTCTGTACAGCCAAATTGGCCGATTACAGAATATCCGGAATATCATTGAAGAGACTGGGAACTTGGCTGAGCAAGCACGTACCCGAGTCGGGAACACAGAGCAATTGATTGAAATTGCCTCCAGAGAACTTGAGAAAGCAAAAGTCGCTGCTGCCAATGTGGTGAGTGATTGGGAAGTCAGGAGTCAGGGGTCAGGAGGGTCATTGGGTAATGTATAGCAAGTCTGTTAGTATCAGTGGAGGGCTTCTTCTGCTCCTCCTGCTTTGTTAGAGCAGGAAAGCCGTGTTGCTCATAGTTTTCGTAAGACAGTAGCAACTGGATGAAAAACAAGAGACCTCTAGGCTCTTTCCCTCACTGTGCTCCCTCTGTGGCTCTCAGTAATCTAGTCTGCAGTTACCCTTACTGAAAATAGAAATAATTTGCAGTCAGAGGTGCTGATAGTAAGTAGATCTTTGAAAATACAAAAATATAAATTCTTTTTTGTCCTCTAATACTAATAAAAACTTAGTTTTGACACTTTATGAAGCTTAAATAGTTCAGTCTTTTGCGAATAAATGCTCAATTTCCTTTTCAGTCAATCACTCAGCCAGAGTCTACAGGGGACCCAAACAACATGACCCTTTTGGCAGAAGAAGCCCGAAAGCTGGCTGAACGGTAAACTGCAGCCCCTGTGTAATGGTTTAAGGCACAGCTTCCCTTACCACATGTTGTCCTGTTCCATTGCACAAACACTTTCCATTGCAAGGTTTTCTCCTTTCTGAAATGTTATCAGCTGTGTCTGTGGTCTTCTTTGAAATTGGGATGTTCACTTTAAACATTAGAAAATGATGGTTTGGAGCATATGTTTGATCATTTCAAAGAAAACTGCAACATTTTTAGATTTTTAACTTCAAAGCCTTAAAATTAATAGATTTCTAAGAAGCACAGTAGAATTTATTACTTTAAAGTTTTCTTTTACATTAGTGCCAGGCACTGGCGGCTCACACCTGTAATCCTAGCTACTTGGGAGGCAGAGATCAGGAGGATTGCAATTCAAAGCCAGTCTGGGCAAATAGTTCCTGAGAATCTCAAAAATACCCAAAACAAAAAAGAAAAAGGTTGGCAGAGTGGCCTAAGTAGTAGAATGCCTGCCTAGAGCAAGTGTGATGCCCTGAATTCAAACCCCAGTATTACCAAAAAGGAAAAAAAAAAAAACCAAAAAACCATATATATATATATATATATATATATATATACACATATATATATTAGTCTTTCAACAAAACTGTTTAATTTTCAAACCCCAATAAGAAAACATTTATTAAACTATAGTATGTTTGAAAATAAACCAAAGAAAACCAGCTATTTTTACTCCTAATTTATTGGAGACTTGTAAAATTAAGTATAAGGTAATTCCTTTCGAAGGCTTTAAATTACAGAAATGCTTCAAGTTAAAAAGATTTAAAAAACACCAAAGTTGCTATATGTAAGCTCCATGAGGGCAGGATTTTTACAAAAATTTTTTGCCAGAACCCCAGTGATTGGGCTGGGTGCGTGGCTCAAGTGCAAGGCCCTGAGTTCAACCCCAGTGACTGACATACAGTAGGTGTTCAGTGAACACTTGTTGAATATGTTGCAGAACAGTTAGCAGACTTCGTGAGTGTGGTATGTAAGTAAGCCCAAGGCTTTTCCTGCCAAAAAAAAATGTCCACATACTGCAAAGTGACAATTTAACATGAAACTTCAGAAGAAGAGAAAACCTTTAGCATTTACCCATTTAAAATGCATTATTTGCCTGGATTCTCTCCCGACCTGTTCTCTGCCATTTGCTGTTGAGTTGCTTTTCCTGCCAGTAACTAGGTTGTGTAGGAAAAGTCTGAATAGTCAAAGCTGTTTTAAGACTGCATGTAGTAACTGGACTAGGCTTACAGATTGTTATTAGGAAAAATTAGGCCTGGGATTTGTGTTAATGCCTAGATAAATGATTTCTTGTTAGCATACACAGTATTATATATAAATTACTCTGAAATAATTATATTTAAAAGTAGTTTTCTACCAGGCATGGTGGCACATATCTATAATTCATGCTACTCAGTACATGGAGGCAGGAGGGTCATGAGTTCAAGGTCACCATGGGCAGTTAGCAAGGCCGTATCTCAAAAAACAAAAATACGAGGGGCATGACTCAGATTGTTGGGCACTTGCCTAGAAAGCTCAAGTTCCTGAGTTTAAACCCCAGTACCACCAAAAAAAAAAAAAAATTAAAATCAGAAAGAGCTGAAGTTGTAGTTTAAATGTTAGAGTATTTTGCTTAACATGTGTGAGGCCCTGGATTCTATCTCTAATACTGCCTCCACAGAAAGGCAGTATTTTCTGAGTAAACATTTCCCCTATCAACTTCATATCACTAATTTGCTTTGAAAATACTCTTTTCAGTTTGCCGAATGCTATTGGTAAAGTTAGCTCTACTGAAATGATTACAAAACTCCAAATTAATGGAATTACCTGATTTTGGTAGATTGCTACCCACATTAATATGTGTATACCGAATAAAGCGAGCTTTACTAAGTTTTACCTGATGCCCTATCAAGTGATCTGTTTCATGGATTATTTTTTCTCTTATGTGTACAGCCATAAACAAGAAGCTGATGACATTGTACGAGTGGCAAAGACAGCCAACGATACATCGACTGAGGCGTATAATCTGCTTTTGAAGACACTGGCAGGAGAAAATCAAACAGCACTTGAGATTGAAGAGCTTAATAGGAAGTAAGTGTAATTTAAAAGGGCTCTCAGCCCTTCAGATGATCTTGTAAGTAACACCAGCTCAATGAAGAGCTAAAAGCTGTGGATTCAGGACATGCCTTTCATGCAGCAAGATTTCTTTTGTTAATCATGCTGCTTTTGAAAAGACAGAGTAATTAGAGCAGGGGGTGTGGAGCCACAGAGGTTTTGTTTGATCCTATTACTGTAACTGCAGAGAATGGTAATAAGACTAGCCATGATACTCAAAATTCCACACCAGTCAAAAAAGAGAAGAATACTAGAGAGATTAAGTAGAATATGCTTGACAACAAATTCTTCAAGGGGTCTGAAACAAGAAAGTACAAGTTGAGTATTCCTAATCTGAAGTGTTTGGGACCAGAAATGTTTTAGATTTTGGTTTTCTTTGGAGTTTGGAATATTGTCATATACATATATACCTTATTGATAAGACCCAAGTCTCAACGTGAAATTCATTTATGCTCATATACAGACAGCTTGAAATTTTATACAGTATTTTTTAGTGTGTCTGCATTTTGATTGTGACGCAGACATGAGGTCAAGTGTGGAATTTTCCACTGTAGCTCAAAAGTTTCAGGAGGCTGAGGTAGGAGGATCAAAAGTTTAAGGCCGTGGAGAGCCATACATAGTGAGTTTCAGGCCAGCCTACGCTACATATGTCAAAAAAAAAAAATATCAGATTTTGGAGCATTTCACATTTGGGATTTTTGGATTAGGTATGCCTGCCCAATTTATATGTGGTGAAAAGAATAGAAGTGATGAGGTGAAATGTCCATTTTAGCTAAATGTTGGCATTAAAATGAGAGCATTTGATACAGTACTTCCTTTGAGATTTTGGGACTGTTACCACCATGATGAAAGCTAGATTGAATCTGATTAGCATTAAGATGCTAAAAACATTGTTTTTTTATTGAGCCACATCATTTGTTCCTTAGGTATGAGCAGGCAAAGAACATCTCACAGGATCTGGAGAAGCAGGCTGCCCGAGTCCACGAGGAGGCCAAGCGGGCAGGTGACAAAGCTGTGGAGATCTATGCCAGTGTGGCTCAGCTCACCCCTGTGGACTCAGAGGCACTGGAGGTAAGTGTGCACAGGCTCTGATGGTCACTGCTGTCACTATGCACAACTCCTACCTCTCCAGTCTGTAAGAGCCATTCTGACTGCCTGGCATCTCCCTCCCCTGTGCTCCAGCTGACTCACTGGTAAAGCTCAGTTCTAATTTAGGTATGATAGTAGAGTTGATCAAGGCAAAGAGTCTTAAGTTTATGAACAGTAAATAGCAAGACTACTTCAGTGATATGAACAGTCACTCAAGTCTTTCATATAAATCCACTTTATAATCTGTTTGAATTATTTAAAGCACTGTACCCCGAGACCCTTATTCCTAGGCACTGTCTGATAGAGGCTGAGGGAACAATAAGAGTGAAGAGTTTCAATGAAATGATTCCAACTATATTGGAATGCTCTGGGGCAGGTAAAATGTTGAGAATTGGTTGTATATTATTTCATATCTGTCCTCTAATCACAGTTCCTCATATGAAACTCTGTATAAATGTATATTTTACACGAAACTGAAAGTTACTGAACTTCACTCTTTATGTGAGGTGTTGGCTTGATATCAGAAAGGTTTAGGTTTCTTCAGACATGCACATACTTTCTGATTCCACACATGTGAAGTTTGAAAATGAACAAGACTGATCTATGATGATGACAGTTGTGGCCACAGTAGGGGGACAAGATGGGGTAGAGAGTGATTGGATGGGGATCCAAGGGAACCTTCTTAGGATGATGGAAATATTCTGTATCTCGATTGAGGTGTGGGTTAGGTAAATAGATTTTTCCAAAATTCATCAAATTATGCAGAAATGTTGAGATTTCACTGTGTAAAGTGAAGTCAAGTAAAAAAAAAAGTCTACAAAATTTTGACCTGTGCTGTACTTTTAAAAATATCAGTTGGGCCAGTGCCCACCAGCTCATGCCTGTAATCCTAATGATTTGGGAGACAGAGATAAGGAGGATTGTGGCTCAGAGTCAGCCCAGGCAAAAAGTGAGCCCCTATCTCAAAAATACCCAACACAAAAAAGGGCTGGTAGAGAGGTTTAAAGTAGTAGAGTGCCTGCAAGCATGAGGCCCTGAGTTCACAACCCCAGGACTGTCTGTCTGTCTGTCTGTCTGTCTGTCTATCTGTCTATCAATCAATCAATCAAAGGACTGAGAGCAACACTCAAGTGGTAGAGTGCCGGCCTCGCAACCATGAGGCCCTGAATTCAAACCCCAGTAACACCCCACTGAAACATAAATTAAAACAAAATTAAAAATATCGAGTGAATATTAAGTGTTGCAGAGTTCCTCAGCTACCTTTTCATCAGTTTTAACTGTTTATTTACATTGTAATGGTCTTACTTTTCACAGAATGAAGCAAATAAAATAAAGAAAGAAGCTACGGATCTCGACCATCTCATTGACCAGAAGTTAAAGGATTATGAGGACCTCAGAGAAGATATGAGGGGGAAGGAGCTTGAAGTGAAGAACCTTCTGGAGAAAGGGAAAGCTGAACAGCAGGTTGGTTTAGTTTGTAGGGTGCTTTTTTAAAAAAAAAATTTTTGTCAGTACTGGGGTTTGAACTCAGAGGCCTGGTGCTTGCTAGGTGGTCACTCTACCACTTGAGCCACCCTGCCGATCTTTTTTCCTCTGGGTATTTTGAAGATTGGGTCTCACGTTTTGCCAAGGCCTGCCTGGACTGTGATCCTCCTATTTTACACTTTCCAGGTAATGACAGGTATGTGCCACCAGGTCACATTTTTTCCCCTGTTGAGATGGAGGGGTCTTGCAGATTTCTTTGCCCAGGCTGGCTTGGAACTGTGATTCTCCCAATCTCATTTTATGTAGCTTAGGATGACCACTGCATTCAGCTGTTGGTTGAGATAGCAGCTCAGTAACTTTTTTGCCTATCCTGGCCTTGAACTGTGATCTTCCTGACCTCAGCCTCCCAAGTGGCTTGGATTACAGGTGTCAGCCACTGGCACCTGACTGGTGCATCGTTTCTTGAGGCAACATTTTAAGCAGAGCAGGTATGAGCTGTGTCTATAACATAACCACAGTTGCAGAGTTGTCAAACCACACAGTGTTCGGAGGAGGGCCTTTGACATAATGCTTAGGCCTGATGTGTGTATGCTGCAGTCTCGGTCAGAGCTTTGAGATGCCTAAGTGAGGGTTTGGGTTTTGAGGATTCATCCTGACTTGCTATGCATTTTCAGACTGCTGACCAGCTCCTAGCCCGAGCTGATGCTGCCAAGGCTCTTGCTGAAGAAGCTGCTAAAAAAGGTCGAAATACCTTACAAGAAGCCAATGACATTCTGAATAACCTGAAAGGTATGAGGGGGGTGTCAAATAACAACAGCATTTTGTACACTTCCTCCACTGGGGCAGTCTCCTTCCTTCTTCCTCCTTCTCTTCCCTCCATCTTCTTTTAGCATGATATTCTCTGAACATAATACTATAGTAACTCCCATATACTCATTACTTAGATTTAATAGTTACCAAGATTGTTGCCATGCTTAGTTCCTTCCAAGCACCCTACTTTTCTCATGCAGAAGTGTGTCAAAGAAAAATATGAGTGTTCATGTCATTTTACTCCTGCATTCTTCAGTTTGAAAATCAAAACTGGGATGGTGGGGTTTGCATTAGACTAAGTCACCTACCCAAGATCTGCCTAGTTAGCTGACTTATGTTGGTAAGTGGAAATTGTTGCCTCTCACTTTTTCTGCCAATAACATCTAATTTTTTGGTTTTTTTCTTTCTTCATCTTTGATGAAATAATTATAGGTTCTATAAATGAGGAGGATTTATAGGATAATAGTTGAAAGTATGGGCGTTGTTTTCAGTAGGTCTGGGTTTGAGTCCCTGATCTACCAGTTAATCTCTTTAGTCATCAGTTTTTCTCATTATAAATATAGGGCTGGGGACGTGGCTTAAGTGATAGAGCATCTGCCTGGTCAGTGACAGAGCCTGAGTTCAAACCCAGTACCACAATTAATCAATCAATCAATAAGTAAACAAACACATACATACATACATAAATACATAAATAAATAAATGTACAATGTCTGTGTCACAGAGACACTAAGCTTAGCTCAGTACCTGATACCCAAAAAACACTAAATAAGTTGTGGCTTTCAGTACTGCTCGAGGTGGTAGTAATGCCGTACTCAGTGACATGAATCAAAAGAATCAAAAATACGTTTTCAAATAAAAATCCCCTTTGAAGAAAGAGATGTATGTTCATAAGACTATTCCTGGGAAATCTATGTAGAGATGTATGTGTATTTTGCCCTTTTAAGATTTCAGGCCATTTCAGTTTCCATTTTTTCCCCATGGCTTTTATTGATCATAAAACAAATCCAGTTGCAGTTCCATGAAAGGCTCCCGTTTTGCTTGTTGGGAACTTAGTTCAAATGCATTCCTTGAACTTCTTTTAGATTTTGATAAACGTGTAAATGATAACAAGACAGCTGCAGAAGAAGCTCTAAAGAGGATTCCCGCCATCAACCGGACCATAGCCGAAGCCAATGAAAAGACGAGGGAAGCACAGCTGGCACTGGGTAACGCAGCAGCAGATGCCACGGAGGCCAAAAACAAGGCCCACGAGGCAGAGAGAATCGCCAGTGCTGTCCAAAAGGTGTGTGCTTCCTCTTCTCAAAGTTTCCCTAGACTCTTCCCAGTATCTTTGCAGACCTCCAGGAGTTTTTCCTCCACTCCAGTAAACTCTTGAGTCATCCTTGTTTTTCTTTTAAACTAGACATTAGAGAATGTTACCATATTGAAGAAGGGGAATCAGTAAAAGGACTTTACATTTTCAACTATGTCTCATTGTAAATCTGAGTTCTCAGGAGGGGGGATGGCTTCAGAGGGCTTTAGAGCCCCTTCCCTCAAAACTCATATACCACCTGAATATGGTGGCAATATTGTGTACTCCTATATGAAAATGGGAAAATGAGACCTGTTAAAACTATTCTAAGAATGGGGAGAGGGGAGATAAAGCAGAATGATAGAGGGATGAGTTTAACTAAGATACATTGAAACACTTTTGTAAACGTCATAGTGTACACCTAGTACAACAATAATAGGATAATAAAAAATTTAAAATCAGATACCTCCTAAAGAAGTGTACTTCTTGGGCCTGGACAAGTGACGTTTTTTTCAACGTTATATGGGAGAGTGCTCTATCAGCAAACTTTCAATACCCTCTTTCAAGCATATTGCCCTAAGCTCCTCTTGTGACTTTCGCTACCTCTGCTGCTGAGATGCTTCACACTCACCTTAAAGAGTAATTTATTCAAGCCAACTCTTTCCTGCTTAAAGGTCAACCTGTTTGCCTTATTTAAAGGAGAGATTGGAGCTGATTCTAATATCACGTGTCTTGAGAATCAGCAATTTTTAGTTTCTTTAGAAGAGTTGGCTTTTGGAATAATTATATTTTATAAAATGCTCATATTTCAGGATTGTGAAAATGATCCAGATCCTTTTTGTAACTTCCAAGAATAACTAGGCTAGCTTTGAATTTAAAATTTATTCAAGTGAAAGAGTCTGATCAATATGATGTGATCAGCAAATGTTTATCATTTGCTATCTGTGTGACATCAACTAAAAGTGGCAATAATAGAACAATAAGTTTCAAAGATTAGGAAAGAGAATACAAATGAAAGTGCTTTATAAAATATAAAATGCTATTATATTAATAGTAATGTTTTTTATTACTATTATTTGGAACCTAAGTGGTATGTCACGAGATTGTATATATTGTTCTGTTCTTTCTGGATTGTATTTTGAGCCATTTTATAAATTACAAAAGGACTAAGAGCATCCTTTAGAAAAGCTCAAGCTGTTTTTAATTAACAGTTTCCTTATTTTGTTCCTAGAATGCTACCAGCACCAAGGCGGAAGCTGAAAGAACTTTTGCAGAAGTTACAGATCTGGATAATGAGGTGAATAGTATGTTGAGGCAACTACAAGAAGCAGAGAAAGAACTGAAGAGGAAGCAAGATGATGCTGATCAGGACATGATGATGGCAGGGATGGTAAGAGGCTTGGCATATTTGCTTATGGACAGAAAGTGAAGGATGTCCAGTAGTAAAGATCCCCAGCTTGTTGAAAGAGTCTTTTTCATTGAACATCTGTTTTTCATTGCATTTCTGGTCAAGAACTGGGTTAGTAGCTTACATAAAAGACAAAGAATTTGGATCTTCTGTGAGGTATTTCTGTTGCACAATTGTCCTGTCCCAGACCTACCCTCAGTTACAAGCAGAACATGATCTTACACGTCTGAGGTTTTAGGACATTTTAAAGTGATTTATTTTTAAATGGGTAATTCATAAAAGGGAATGCAACTTGCTCCTTAGAGACAAAGCCCGGTTTCTTATATATAAGAAATTTTGAAGATAGCATTCCCTACCACCCCACCAAAGCATGCCAAGCTTTAACCCACTTTAATTTTTCCCCTTCTGTGACGACATGTATGCATCACACCATTTATAACAAAATTGACTTGTGAATGGAATGGTTCAAGGAAGAACTAGGGTCCATTTTTGTGTTCTATGCTGTATTTTACTTTGAAAGAATTTGATGGAGTCAAAATGGGAATGTTCCCTTCCACTTTAATGTAGCCATTATAGTAATGATACACACAAACTTGTTGCCTTGCATACTTTCAGTATAAGGAAGGAGCCCTTTCTTTCACTGCTCCTAAAATATAGCTCCCTTCCCCCACCCCCAAGTCCTTTTTACCTTGGGACAAAAAGGAGAAAAGTAAGGGCAGGGAAGTGATACCAGGAAGCATTTCTGTGCAAATACCTGGTTTTTTTTTTTAATGCTTTTTTGTTTTTTGTTCGTGCTGTCCTAACTTTCTGTGAGATAGTGTGGCTCAAGTGGAAATTTCCATTAAGTAATAATAGGTATTTTTCATACGTGCTGAGAGTCTATGGATTCATTTTTAATGTGTTTATAGAAACATTCATTTAGAGTCTATTGAAAGAAAGCAAAGGACAAATTCTTTATGAGCTCCAAAAGAGGATAATGGAAAGAGGATTTAGTTCAAAAGTTAGAAAGAAGAACCATCTTTTGTTATTGTGTGTAAATAATTTCTAAAGAACATAAACCACCCTCACGTACACTATCCCACTTGAATTTACACCAATTCTGAAAGGCCAGCATTTGACCAGTATTGTTTGAGTCTGTAACATATGTTTTTTAACCAAAGCATGAAGGTTATGGTTTTTCCTGGAAGTGGAGGCTGGAGACCACAGGTTAACTACAGCAGGGTTGCTTTTGGCGGCCAGAGCAAAGTCCTGTGTCCCTCTCCCAGCATGCCTGCTGGAACGCCTGTGCAAGCTCAGTAAGAACAGCTGCAATTTGAACAGAGATTAATCATTTATTTATGAAGGATTTTTTTTTTGCCTTTTTTTTTTTAGAATTTTCACATTGTTTTGATCCCCAAATGTTTGCTTTGTCTTGACCCGAAAACTAGGAAAAATAATTATGTGGTAGGGAGCTCAAAGCTACTCATTTATATCTTGACTAGATTTACTTGTGAGAGCATCTGTTTTCTGATATTTAGATACTTCCTCTTCCACTGCTGTTTCCTGTGACTCACGCTCTGTGTATTTGTTCAGGTTTCATGGAACTTCCCCAGATATATTTACCTTTGGTTGATTTTGAAAATGTCAATTGTATTGTCCCAAAAAATGAGAGAGAGCGATTGTGGCACTGTGGTTACACAGTTGGGGCAGGAGGAAATTTACGGAAAAGCTTCCTTTATGAAAATTTTGTGAGAATAGAGTATATTTCTAATAACTCCCTAAGAGTGTCCATGTTTTGGCTCTAAAATATATTTTCTATACTTACCTTTAAGAAGCAGCCTGTTTCTGCTTGATGGATTTTGGTATGAATACACTTCCATGTATTCTTGAGTAGGAGAATGAGAAAAGGACAGTACTGATTTTAGTGTAATGAGGGAGGCATACTGACTGTCCATCCATGACTGCTCCTTGTGGCAGACATAGCACATCCTCAGCCTGAAGATACAGCCCCAGAAACCTGCAGTGAGAGATGGTGACTTCATGAGTTACGGGAAGGGAAAACGGCTAAAAATTAGATTGGCTGGCTCAGTTGGGGAAAACATTTAAAGAAGATGAAAGCATATATTTAGAATTATTTATATCATTTGCCCTTTTTCTTCCACAGGCTTCACAGGCTGCTCAGGAAGCTGAGATCAATGCCCGGAAGGCCAAAAACACTGTTAACAGCCTCCTCAACCTGATTAATGGCCTCTTGGAGCAGCTAGGTTAGTAGCCATGGAGTCATTTTACTCAGTCTCTGAACCCTTTTACTGTTTTGGAGATCCAATGTAGTTGACTCAAAAGCAGATTAATACATGAATCTCTCTAAAATCGTTTATTAAATTACTGATATTTCTTTTAGCTCTTGCATATTTTTAAGACACATATGTGTCTTGCATGGCGGAATCTTTACCATGAGCTTGCATGGTTACAGTACTGAAATGTTTGTGAGCTGTACAGGTGCTTTCCATCTACCATAAATAGAGCACCATGGTTTAAGGATCATCTTCTTACATTTTGAAAATATCCTGTCAGGTAGCAGAACTCACTTATGGTCCAGGTTCATTATCATTTTCAGGTCCAGTGATTATTATCTTATTTTACTGGCAGAGCATCTTTGAGGGACTTAAAGGGAAGGAAGGATTCAATGATGGAGTAAAAGTATACTTTACACTGGTCATGACTTCACAGAATTCTCTTCATTTGCCAAGTAAAGGAGAGTTTGGTGAGGTGAAAGCTTTTATGCCTTGATTTTTCAAGGAATTATAGGCATTCTGCAACATCCTTTTAATCAAGTTTGGTTGGAAGCTGACTTCATTTTAGGACAGATGTACTTTTGTTACCAGACTCCATTATGAAGTTTTAGTACTCTAACTAGGACTCTTTGTAGTGAGGCATTATATTTTCATTTGCTAGCCTTTAAAGATCAATGTGTTTTGTTTTATAGAGTTTTTTCCTGGGGGGTATTTTTTATCTGCCTAAAATGTTGAGAATAATAAATTACATGCCAGCAGGTGGATTTAAATATGAAAGTAAGCTAGAAGAGAAAGATTTTTGTGGAGGAACAAGCTGAACTCTAAAATTAGTTAGATTTGGGATAGAATTTTTGCTTTACTACCTCAAGGTTATGCAAACTTAGGCAAATTATTTAATATCCCAGAATCACTGAGGTAAACTGGTTAATAGAAATTTAATCAAGTAGATTATGAATGAACTGCTCCTCTTTGTATCTGTTTTCCTTTATTATGGAGCAGTTTCTTTCAAAAGAACCTCTTCCTTGCAACATCTATATTGAAGCTTTGCTGAAATTGTTTCAGCCTTGGCCATTTTCCATAAGAAGGCCTGCAATACTGTCTAACTCCTGAAAACGGGAAATGACACCCCTCCTTGTACTCTTAAGAGCTAAGGATTCTTATCGTAGAGATTTTTGCATACTTTGGATGACTCTGAAATGACACACAGATTGCATATATAAAGCTGAAAGAGGTATTCATTGTTTTTTTTTTTTTCATTTTTCTTTTATTATTCATATGTGCATACAAGGCTTGGTTCATTTCTCCCCCCTGCCCCCACCCCCTCCCTTACCACCCACTCCACCCCCTCCCGCTCCCCCCTCAATACCCAGCAGAAACTATTTTGCCCTTATCTCTAATTTTGTTGTAGAGAGAGTATAAGCAATAATAGGAAGGAACAAGGGGTTTTGCTGGTTGAGATAAGGATAGCTATACAGGGCATTGACTCACATTGATTTCCTGTGCGTGGGTGTTACCTTCTAGGTTAATTCTTTTTGATCTAACCTTTTCTCTAGTTCCTGGTCCCCTTTTCCTATTGGCCTCAGTTGCTTTAAGGTATCTGCTTTAGTTTCTCTGCATTAAGGGCAACAAATGCTAGCTAGTTTTTTAGGTGTCTTACCTATCCCACCCCTCCTTGTGTGCTCTCACTTTTATCATGTGCTCATAGTCCAATCCCCTTGTTGTGTTTGCCCTTGATCTAATGTCCACATATGAGGGAGAACATACGATTTTTGGTCTTTTGGCCAGGCTAACCTCACTCAGAATGATGTTCTCCAATTCCATCCATTTACCAGCGAATGATAACATTTCGTTCTTCTTCATGGCTGCATAAAATTCCATTGTGTATAGATACCACATTTTCTTAATCCATTCGTCAGTGCTGGGGCATCTTGGCTGTTTCCATAACTTGGCTATTGTGAATAGTGCCGCAATAAACATGGATGTGCAGGTGCCTCTGGAGTAACAGTCTTTTGGGTATATCCCAGAGTGGTATTGCTGGATCAAATGGTAGATCGATGTCCAGCTTTTTAAGTAGCCTCCAAATTTTTTTCCAGAGTGGTTGTACTAGTCTACATTCCCACCAACAGTGTAAGAGGGTTCCTTTTTCCCCGCATCCTCGCCAACACCTGTTGTGGTGTTCCTGATGATGGCTATTCTAACAGGGGTGAGGTGGAATCTTAGTGTGGTTTTAATTTGCATTTCCTTTATTGCTAGAGATGGTGAGCATTTTTTCATGTGTTTCTGGCCATTTGAATTTCTTCTTTTGAGAAAGTTCTGTTTAGTTCACATGCCCATTTCTTTATTGGTTCATTAGTTTTGGGAGAATTTAGTTTTTTAAGTTCCCTGTATATTCTGGTTATCAGTCCTTTGTCTGATGTATAATTGGCAAATATTTTCTCCCACTCTGTGGGTGTTCTCTTCAGTTTAGAGACCATTTCTTTTGATGAACAGAAGCTTTTTAGTTTTATGAGGTCCCATTTATCTATGCTATCTCTTAGTTGCTGTGCTGCTGGGGTTTCATTGAGAAAGTTCTTACCTATACCTACTAACTCCAGAGTATTTCCTACTCTTTCTGTATCAACTTAAGAGTTTGGGGTCTGATATTAAGATCCTTGATCCATTTTGAGTTAATCTTGGTATAGGGTGATATACATGGATCTAGTTTCAGTTTTTTGCAGACTGCTAACCAGTTTTCCCAGCAGTTTTTGTTGAAGAGGCTGCTATTTCTCCATCGTATATTTTTAGCTCCTTTGTCAAAGATAAGTTGCTTATAGTTGTGTGGCTTCATATCTGGATCCTCTATTCTGTTCCACTGGTCTTCATGTCTGTTTTTGTGCCAGTACCATGCTGTTTTTATTGTTATTGCTTTGTAATATAGTTTGAAGTCAGGTATTGTGATACCTCCTGGATTGTTCTTTTGACTGAGTATTGCCTTGGCTATTCGTGGCCTCTTGTGTTTCCATATAAATTTCACAGTAGATTTTTCAATCTCTTTAATGAATGTCATTGGAATTTTGATGGGAATTGCATTAAACATGTAGATTACTTTGGGTAGTATCGACATTTTTACTATGTTGATTCTACCAATCCATGAGCATGGGAGATCTCTCCACTTTCTATAGTCTTCCTCAATCTCTTTCTTCAGAAGTGTATAGTTTTCCTTGTAGAGGTCTTTCACATCTTTTGTTAGGTTTACACCTAGGTATTTGATTTTTTTTGAGGCTATTGTAAATGGAATTGTTTTCATACATTCTTTTTCCGTTTGCTCATTGTTAGTGTATAGAAATGCTAATGATTTTTCTGTTGATTTTATATCCTGCTATAGAGGTATTCATTGTTACCAGATGACCTTCAAAACCATAAATGAAGCTGACGGTCTAGGACACAGTAGCTGTGCATTTAGAAATGGTCTGCAAAAACCATTTTCTCAGAAAAAAGCACCCAGTCCAATATTAATTACGTGCTGTGACCCATTCCTGCTGGGCTAGGTCAGCTTCTGTGCTTGGTTCACGTTGTGTATGTCACATACAACAGCCTGCAAGTCAAGGCCTTTTTGATTCTTGGCAGCTGCTGGGCTTAGTTTATAAAAAGGCAAGTGGAGATACTTGTGGAGTGATGGTGTAGTTCTTACTGAATGCGTCTGTTTCTCTTTTGTGTACTGTCTCAACTCTACAGGGCAGCTGGACACAGTGGACTTAAACAAGCTCAATGAGATTGAAGGCACCCTGAACAAAGCCAAAGATGAAATGAAGGTCAGTGATATTGACAGGAAAGTGTCTGACCTGGAGAATGAAGCCAAGAAGCAGGAGGCTGCCATCATGGACTACAACCGAGACATTGAAGAGATCATGAAGGACATTCGCAACCTGGAGGACATCAAGAAGACCTTACCGTCCGGCTGCTTCAACACCCCATCCATTGAGAAGCCCTAGCGAAGGGAGGGCTAGAAGACAGCACCCCCTGACAGGGGAGCACTTGTGAGGCTACAGAGTGCCTTGACACAAAGATTACATTTTTCAGACCCCCACTTCTCTGCTGCTCTCCATCACTGTCCTTTTGAACCAGGAAAAGTCACAGAGTTTAAAGAGAAGCAAATTAAACATCCGGAACTGGGAACAAAGGGTTTTATCTAATAAAGTCTCTCCTCCACTTATTTTGCTACCTTACCCACACTTTCCCTTCTCATTTGCCTGAGGACGTAGCATCCTTCAGTGGCATAAACATATCATACGAATCCTCATATGCCAGGGCAGAGCAAACGGCTCTCCCTCCCGCATCAAAACCAGCAGAACCTCCTCAGTCTCATACTCTTGTCTCTATGAAGGAAAAGTTTGGCTCCTAATCACAGTGTGGTGATGGCCAGTCTGTGCAGTCCATGGATAAAGAAAGTGCATCTGCATCTTCTGCCCTCCTCTAAGCAAAAGGAAGTAAACCTCTTGCACCAAAGGCATTGGTCACTTAGAGTGTCTGTAGCCATCCATCAGTCATGCTAGCTGTTTTGAGTATAGGACACTGAGCCATCCATGTGTAAGGATGCAGTTATTTATGATAAGTCTCCAGGAGAATGTGGTTGAAGTAGACTGAAGATTTTCTCCTTTATTAATAATTGACTAGGAAGATTAACTTTTTTCAGATCTTTAGGCAGCTGATAATATAAATCTGGATGGGCAGCTTGCACTCACCACTAGACCAATAGACATCTTTTAATATTCTTATAAATGGGACTTATACAGAAGAAACAGGGATATGATAACCACTAAAGTTTTTCTCAAAAATCAAATTTTAAGAGCTTTGTTAGTATGTTAGTCTTGGAACTCATGTTAAGGTACCTGTCAGAGAACAGTTGGTCTCTAAGATCTTGGCAAACAAAAGAAAAGGAAACCTTGTCCCAGTCTTTTCTAGATAAGGGATAAAACAGATGTAACTTGTAGTGTCAGGATCCCATCTATGCATTTTTTTTTTCTTCTAGAGAGAGATGAAATGTTTGACACTTAGCTCCAGTTTTCTGATGTTTCCATTTTCTGGAATTCCTCAAAACACATTGTTTGCCAAATCCTGGTGACAAATGCTTGCACTCAGTATTTTACACAGCTGCCAACACCATCTAGTTCCTGTACTTTGTGATTCAACCCACTCTAAACCTTTCCTCTCCCAGGAGAGGGAAGAACCACGTGTGGAGTTTTCTAGTGGGCTTCTCAACCTTTGATCCTTAGCTCTGTGGTTTTCTTTTAAGACCACAGCATGACAATTCCCTGCCACCCCCTCCTACCAACCTGCCTTTGAGATTCATATATAGTCTTTAACACTATGCAACTTTGTACTTTGCGTATCGGGGGAAAGAAACTATTATCTGACACACTGGTGCTATTAATTATTTCAAATTTATATTTTTGTGTGAATGGTTTTTTTTTTGTTTATCATGATTATAGAGTAAGGAATTTATGTAAATATACTTGGTCCTATTTCTAGAATGGCACTGTTCACTTCTTTGCTCAGTTTTTCCTCTTCACTGGCACAATGTACCTATATATCTCTTCCCTTGCATCTAGAACTCTTTGAATTGTATTTGCTCCCCAGTATTTTGCGTTCTCTACCTTGTGTTTGCAGCATCTCCATTGTGTAAAATGACTATCAGCCTGCTTTCCCCTACTGCAGACTAAAGAGGTAACTCAGCCCTCTTCACTGCAGTGCTGATGTTCCTAAGCTGCCAGCACCATGTTGTTCTTCGTGCCTGTTCCAGAGCAGGATGTCAAGCTGACAGGATATGGTGGATTTAGGAAAGTTTTGAAAGGGGACTTGGACACCATTGTGGGTCTAGGCAGGGATAAGCTAGAAATAAATATTTTTTCCAGCATTTCTTTCAGCTGGATGATTGGTTTTGTAAGGGAGTACATAGCCAAGCACTTTGAGGTATTCACGAGTAGTGCTACTGATGATAGGGAGGTGGGGTGAGGTGCTGTGCTCAGTTCTTGATCCCTTTCCTGTTTCTGTCTCCTTGGGGTATACCAGAGGTTATCATGAATGCTTGACTTGGCATCCCCTAAGCTTTCATTCTTGCTCTTCTCAGGCCTCCTCTACTCACAGGTGGTATGGGGCTCTTCCTTGCCAAGTTTTCACATCCGTGCTTCCCAGCCAGTTCCTCTTATTAAGTGGCCACCACCCCAACATATGCATTTTGGTCATGGTTGCAGGAAAAGGACTGAAAATAGATTGTCAAGGTCATTTGGGTCAGGTTCACTCCAGCAAATCTGAGGCCACGGTGGAAGGTTTTTTTGTCTTGGCTTGTTTGTTTTTATATTCTCCATCTGTATGGTATATTTTTAAACAGAATTTTATTTTTAAAAATGGAAGTTCTTTACAAGATGATACCTAATTACACTCCTGCAGTACAGCCATTATTTTATTGTATAGTTCCAGTTATCTGTATTTTATGTAATAAAATCGACAAAATGGCTGCTGCAGAATGCTGAGTGTCATGGGGAATATATACTGCTACTTTTCCCTAGAATTTGCCCTTTTGATTCCAACTGTGGCCTTTTTATGTGTGCCTCCACTTTAGTTGTTTGCCTTAATCTCTACGGTCTTGCTCTCCAGGGTGGTTAATAAAAACACAACACTTGGCTTTTTTATGTTTAAAATAAAAACAGTATTTTATTTATAATAAAATCTGAATATTTGTAACCCTTTATATTTGGTGTGGTCTTTGTACAGCACTGGGGACCTGAGATGTTTTAAAAGGAATTATGAATGGGAAAATGCTCATAGTGTCTTTGGGTGAGTTGTTATCTTGAGAATAATCTATTACTTTTCCTTTTTTAACCTTTCTCAAATAGGAATACTCAGTGTCATGTGCAAGTCAACAAACTGTAAGAAGCTAGATAGGAAGTATTACTTTAGGCTTTGCAGGTATAGTCTCTGTTTGTCCTTCAGATGAGCTTATGTATTGCATGTGCTCCAATAAAGCTACTTACAAAAGCAGGTCATGGCCTGCAGACTGGAGCTTACTGGACCTGGTATACTCCAAATACTTGATTAGTAACAACTGAAAACAATTTTTAATTAGCAAATGCATGGGAAAATTGCCTTGTTATCCTTCAGTGTCCCGTGTCTTCAGTTAAAGATGGTTTCTTCAGATGAGAAACACTCTGAAACCTATGATGGAATAAACCGAAAAACCAAGTACAAGTAAGAGGCTGCACTAACAGACCAGGTGCAGCTCATAGGACCCCACCCCATCTGCAGGGTGAAGCGATCTGAGGCCAGGGGAGCCATTTTGGAAGGCCAAAGCCTTCATGCCATCAGACCCAGTACTCTGTACTCCTCAGTATTCTGCTTATTCTGGGTCTCTGTGGATTCCATGCCGCCTTTCTGATCTTATTAATTGTTATAACTGTGGTACACTATGTAAAGAACGTAAATTCTACTAAATGGACTTCCCAGGAGAAAGCTTTAGAGGGCACTAGTTACTAGCTTTCTCACCCTGTTCTTAACCTTTACCAGATGGTTCCCCCATTCTTAGGGTCTCATTGAGAGGCAAATGCAAATCCTACCTGGGCGCTGTGTCGGACGTTTAAAAATTGTTACTATTCCATCTGTCCTTTTAGAGAGGGCAATTTCTCCAATGTTGCTACAAGCATAATATGATTCAAAATTTCTTCCCAAGTTTGCTGCTTAAATAAACATTCTAGTTCCTTGATAAATCAGGTTACCAGCTCCACTTCCATTCAGCTCAAAGTGGAATGTTTGAAGAAGACCCTTGACACCCAAGAGGGTCACAAGGTAGAAAAGCAGGGGGCCCCTTTCTGAGGGAGAGAAGGACCTAACCCAAGAAAAGATAAAATCTCTCCAGGACCATGACTTATGGAAACACAAAGTTGAGAATTAACAAATGGCAGAAAAGCTGGGCACCAGTGGCTCATACCTGTAATCCTAGCTACTCAGGATGCAGAGATCAGGAGTAACATGGTTCAAAACCAGCCCAGGCAAATAATTCTCAAGTCCCTATCTCAAAAATACCCAACATGAAACAGGGCTGGTGTTGTGGCTTGAATGGTAGAGTATCCACCTAGCAAGCACGAGGCCCTTTGTTCAAACCCCATTCCCACCAAAAAATAATAAAACAAATGGCAGATAATTTATTGTAGCAGGTTTAAATGAAGTGAGTATTAATAGGTGGAGTAAAAAATAAGGAACTTTCTGGTAAGTAAACTCTTCAGACTCCCCTGGTTCTAGAGAGTGGTGTTTTTTATTTCTGGGGTCTCCTGGAGTGGGTATATTTGTTCCAAACTAATGAATGAAATTCCAAATAACAAGTGAAACATACGCATAAAAAATATTTAGAGCTGGTGGAGTGGCTCAAGTGGTAAGAGCACTTACCTAGTAAGTGTGATGCCCTGAGTTCAAACCCCGATGCTGAAAAAAAAAAAAAAAGCAGAAGACCAGTGAAAAGCTCAGGAGTTCCTAGCTTGGAATTCAAAGGTAAGAAACGTGGATACATCAAAAGCTGTCAGACACTTTCTTGTCTCTGCTTAGAACATTTCTTCCTCTTCCCAGAACAGCATGACTTAAGGTCAAGATGTCACCTCTGCTTGGAACTTTTCAGTCCATCAGCACAGGTTTACCACCCTCCCAGTCCCCAGTCCGGCCTGGTTACTAGCATGACCCATGACGTGTTCATTGTACAGGTGTCCCTCACCCATCTTTCCCACTGTCACCCCCAAGGTCAAGGGGTCTCAGTGACTGTGTCATTCATGTTCACATTCTCAGGGCTGAGAGGTCTAAGCAGTATGAAAGTGTTAGATATGACTAATTCATATGGTTTGTGCTTATTCCTATAAAAAGTTGAACATCGGGCACCAGTGGCTCACACCTATAATCCTAGCTACTCAGGAGGCAAAGAGCAGGAGGATCACGGTTCAAAGCCAGCCTGGGCAAATAGTTTGTGAGACCCTTTCTCAAAAATACCAAACAGAAAAAGGAGCTGGAAGGGTGGTAGAGCGCCTGCATAGCAATCACAAGGCCCTGAGTTCAAATCCTGTACAGCCAAAAAAAAGAAAGGTTGCACATACAGTAGAGGAAGTTGAGCATAGAGTAGAGGAGGAGGGGGATAGAGAAAGAATAATAGAGGTTAATAAATACATGCATGTGTGAAATACCACAGCAAAACCTCCTTTAAGCAATTAATACACACTTTTAAAAATAAAGGACAGGAATGTAAAACATCCTACTCGGGGGATACCAGTGGGAGGAGAGAGAATGAACGGAGGGTGAAGGTGGTGGGCACTTCATATATTTCTGTGAACAATGAACCCTGTTGAAATTGTTTTCAGAGGAGGAGCAGGGCAATGAGGGAATGATAAGAGGGTGAATCTACTGAGGTACATTGTAAGCACATAGGGGAATGTCACAGTGAAACCCCCTGTACAACCAATACATGCTAATAAATACGCTTTTTGTTTCTTTTTTTTTTTTTTTACAATAAAATGTAAAGTTGTTTTTGTTTGGTTTTTTGTTTCTTTTAAGTTGAACATGGTTCTTGATTAAGAATGTAACCTTTGAGGTTGGGGATTTAGTTCAGACTTTTGAGTGTTTGCCTAGCAAGTGAGGCCCTGGGGCTGGTTCCCAGCACTGAAAAAAGCAAAACAAAACCCCCAAGGAAATTACCATGTACACAGTCTGAAGCCCTGCATGGTGGTGCATGTCTGTAATCCCAGCACTTGGGAGGCTGAGGCAAGAGGATCATTCTGGGCTACATAGTGAGACCCTGTCTCAAAAAAACCCCAACCAACCAAACAAAAAGAATATAACCTATTGCATCCTTGTTTCCATAAGTGAGTCCGAGTGTATTGATGGTCCATGAAGTGTGCCTGGTTTTGCATTTTACAAAAATTTTACTTGAACCTCAGATCAGCGCTTTTGGGGCCCATCCTCTGGTGTCTGCCTTCCTACTGAGATCTCCGGTCATTTCACTAAATGCAACCAGGGCTTTGTTCCATGTTAATTGTAACATTACAATATCTAGAGCAATTCCTTTCTGAACATTCAGGGTCTGCCTTCTAGGTTGAACTGTCCTAATTGTCGTTACTCTTCTCTGCTGGTTGACCCCAGCCACCTTTTCCACGGACGTCTCTGTCCTCCTGGCTGTGGCCTTCAAGTGGGGTTAGTGCCGAGTAAGCACGAGGCCAGCGCAGCAGCACTGTCTGGGAGCTGTGCCACCGCCAGCGGATTACACGCTCCTGGGCTGCTGAGCCAGCAGCCGAGGTAAAGCCTCCGAGACACAGCGGTGATTCCCGCGATCACGTGCCCCGCGTGGTCGGAGTTGGTGCCACGACTTGCTGCCCTTCCTGCTCCGTCTGCTCCGCGCTGACGTGGCTGGCTGGCACAGAGCATCGGGCCTGGCCGGAGAGATGAGTTTTGCCCCGGAAATCTCACATGGGCTGCACTTTTTAAGGTTCTGAGGGACTTTGGAAGAACTGGCACCATCAAGATAGCCTGATGTTTTAAAAAGCATCTTCACAGTGACTTTCCTTTGTAGAATCCCCGTGTGGCCTAGGAGGGAGAAAAGTGTGGGCTACTGCTCTTGCTTGCAGCCTTGAAGTTACAGCAGTTACATTTTTCGCTCCCATGATTTTGATCCAATTTCCTTTTAAGAACCCCTAATATATAATTGCAATTAATGGTAAATTGCCTCAAATCCCTTTTCTGAGGGATTTGGAACCTGCTTGTCAAACAGCACCCTGAGCCCCACACACTGAGAAGTTCCCATTCCTTCCCCCGCCCCCCACTCTCTCTTTCTCTCTCCCTTACCTAAACTCAAGCATAAGGTGCACAAGGCCAGTTCATCCCAATAATTTTGCCTAATGAGGAATTCGCCTGAAATGTCGCTCTCACTGAGAGCTCAGAGCCGTTTCCCTTCCTAGTGCCTTCACTTTGCAATACTTTAGTCAGCTTTAAGAGTCTCGTTCTTTTGAAAAGCTTCATTTACTATAGCATTTTATAAATGATGAAGTTGTTTCGTACTTGACTGTTTTTCTACTTTCTAAAACCTTTAAAATTAGCACATATTATTGTACTAATTGTGGGGTTTTATTCTGATATTTCCATATATACCTATAACATACTTCAATCATTTTCACCCCCTCTATTCCTCTCTTTTCCTTCCTTCCTCCTTTTTATCATTTCTGGAGTTTTTTTAAATGGGCTTCATTATGGCCTTTTCATACAAGCAAACAATGTACTTGTTCATATTCTTCCCCCTCCCCTCTTTTTCCCCCTCCTGCCTCCTGCTGGTTCCCCACAGAAATGTCTCCCTTTTATGTTCATGTTCCCATTTTTTTTCTTTAGATCTAGATTCTGCTTATGAAAGAAAACATGTGATGTTTATCTTTCTGAGTTTGACTTGTTCTGTTTAATGTCATGATCTCCAGTTCCATTCATTTTCCTGCGAAGGACATCACTTCATTCTTCTTTATGGCTAATACCCGGCTGTGTATATATACCACATTTTCTTTATCCACTCATCAGCTGAGGGACCCTAGCTGACTCCATAGTTCGGCTCTTGTGAATAGTGCCCTGGTACACTGGTCTCCATTGTATGCTGGCTTACATTCCTTCGTGTATATAGCCGGAGTGTGATAGCTGAACCTTATGATAGTTCTATTTTTAGTGTTTTGAGGAGCCTCCATACTG